TTCCAGACTTCTAGCAATTCTGTGAATGTGTACTATCTTACTACATTTTTTTGTTGTTATTTTTACATTTTAAAAACAAAACACCAATATAGAAAGCCCCACAAAACAAATATGTAGCTTAATTAATTAAATCGAAGAACTTATATCCACCATTCAGGTCAAGAAATAGAACCTCCTAAAGAAAGCTAGTCATTGCCTAGACTTTACCATATAATTTTATAATAATTTTCATGTATTTCTTTATGGTTTTATCACCCAAGAGAACATCATGGATACTAGAATTAATCACACACATTTAAAAATGTTTTATGTATCTTTTAAATATAGAAAATGTAAGAAAATGGTTAAAGACTCAACCATTTGTTGAGAGGCTCCTTTTCCATTTGTTTCCTTAACAAATTTATCTGTCATTAAGCCTAGACTATTTGACCTATAATTTCCCAGAGTCCAGAAAAGTGTTTACCAGCCTTTTTAAAAAAATATATCATTTACCTCTTGCAGAGCCCAATTAGACATTTTTTTTTCCCATAATTGCCTCCTCCCCCTCATACCCACTCAATAATAAGGAATAAGTTTTCTTTATCCTCTGTTCCAAAACAGCTGCTGGGTCCAAATGCATGACCAGACTCAGGTTTGGTCCTTTAATGAAACCCTAGGAAGTGTTTTTTGATTAGAAGGTACTCAGTATCTTGTCTTTGTGATGTTACCAGTCAATAATATTCATTGTCTGCATCCAGTAATTGAGGAATGCAAAAATTTTCGTCATTTATTTTACTTAGAATACCTTTTTTTAAAATAAGAAACTATTGCTTATTTGTTTGATTACACAGTGATATAATTCATGTAGGAAATGCAAGAAAATTTCATTTTTTTTGCTTTTATTTACCAGTTTTTTTTTTAAGAGAGAGAGAGAGAATTTTTTAATATTTATTTTTTAGTTTTCAGCGGACACAACATCTTTGTTTGTATGTGGTGCTGAGGATCGAACCCCGGGCGGCACGCATGCCAGGCGAGCGCGCTACCGCTTGAGCCACATCCCCAGCCCAATGGATGGGTTATTTACCAGTTTTAAAGTTAATATCCATTGCCTGTCATCCTTTAAAAACATTTTGAGGGCTGGGGATATAGCTCAGTTGATAGAATGCTTGCCTGGCACACACAAGGCCCTGGGTTCAATCCCTAGCATGCATTAATGAATGAATGAATCAATCAATCAATCAATCTCTCATTTATACATATTCTTGAGTTTTATGCCAAATCAATAAATTATCCTACTGAAGGTCAAGATGTTCTATTTCAGTCCACTGGTAACCTCTGGACTTTTTTCCTAGTTTCTGCAGAACCCACTTACTATAAGTAGCTTTTGGTAGCTGCTTTGATACCTAAGATGATATGTTGTTCCAGCCCATTCTGTATAGTTTCTGCCCTAGACCTGAAATCAGTAACTTCTCTGTTTTCTTTAATAGGAAGTACTTCACAATTTTTGGTTCATAGTCCTTTCTGTGTTCCTGACAAGTAACTATAACATATGAACCATGTATAAGTTGATTTCTGTTTCTGGTCTTTCCCTTATACTTAGTTTTCTTTTGTTCCTTTTAGGTGTATGGGTGTGTGTGTGTGTGTAAGCTTTGTATGGAAGTGTACACTCCTTTTTTTAAAAAAAAAAATCAGATCTTGGACATTATGGGTGATAAATTGTAGGGGGTCCAAATCTCTATTCAGCTCTTAGCATCTCTGTTGCTATTTTATTTGGAGTCTAGTCCTGAATGTATGCAGCAGAGGCTAACAACTTGAAGGGGTATTGCTATGTAGATTTGGGAGGACTCTCTTCACTCTGGATTCCTCCTTGATGGGATTTTTGTCCCTTAAATCTGAGCTACTTTGACATCCCAGACTCAGACCTTCTCATTGAAACTGCTGCTCCTGTTCTGTTCCATTTTCTTTTCCCATGTGATTTAGAAAATGCTTTTGCCAGAAAAACCATACAGCATGAATGTGTCTTGTCCTCCTGGGCTTCTCATTTTTTCAAGAATCCAAGTTTCTGAAACCCTGCATTCTGGATTTTTAGCTCCTTCAAAGAATTATTTGATATATTCAAAGTTTTATAATGGGTTGTTTTTTTGTTTTGTACTTGGAATGAACTCAGGGGTGCTCTACTATGAACTGTATCTTCATTCTTTTTTATTTTTAATTTGAGGTAGAGTTTTACTGGGTTTCCAGAGCTGGTCTTGACCATGCAGTTCTCCTGCCTCCAGCCTCCTGAAGTCACTAGAATTACAGATGTTTATTATACCCAGCTTTATAGTGGTTTTGTATAAAAGGGCAAAAAGTTGGTCTAATACATGCTATTTTGTCATGGCTAAAACCAAAGTCTGTGTAAAATAAGGTTAATAATATTGCAGGTCTCATGGGATTGTGGGAATTATCAATGAGTGATGTATGTAAAGTGCTTAGAAAAGTATCTCATGGCATTCTCACTTTAGCTTGTAATTTTTTTTTTTTTTTTTTTTTTTACCTTTGTTAGCCTCTTGAACAAGACCACAGGTATTTTCTTCATTCAATTCTCTGGTATCTATCATTCCCTCAGTATATATACATGCCCTTCATAATTGTATAGAATTTTAGTTTTGCCCTTTAAAACAACTTTTAAGGGCTGGGGCTCAGAGGTAGAGCACTCACCTAGCACTTTCAAGGCCCTGGGTTCGATCCTCAGCATCACATAAAAATAAATAAATAAAACAAAATTTTAAAGTTGTGCAGCAATTATTAGTTTCCTAAAATTAGGTACACATGGATTCAACCCCTGGTATCACAATAGTTATCGTCACCATCTTGGTCATCCCTTTTTAAAATGTCCTTTTATATCATTCCTCTTAATCTCTTTTTTGAAATTTCCATCAAACCTGTGTTAGAATGCTTCAATCTCCTATGAATCTTAATCTCTCCTAAACATTTTTTTATTGAGGTCTAACTGATACACAGGGAAATAGGCAGAGATTAAGGGAAGAGTTTGGTCCATTTTTTTCCCCAAGTTTGATCCGTTTTGACTGATGGTTACACCTGTTTAATCCACAACTTCATTCAGCTCTAGGAAATTCCCGTAGCTCCTAAAAGTTTCCTCATGCTCTTCTGGTCATTCCTCCGTTCACAGAGCAACCTTTGATTTCATTCATTACAAATTAATTTTTCCTCTTGTAGAACTTCAGGCAAATGGAATGTTGGATTGGAGATATAGGTCATTGGTAGAGCGCTTGCCTAACATGTGCAAGGCACTAGGTTTTATCTTTAATGCCAGAAAGAAAGGGTTGGAAGAGAATGTTAACTGTGTTCTCTATTGTTTAGCTTTTTTGGTTAAGCATAGCGTTTCTGAGATTAATCCATGTTGCATATATTGAGTTAATTCCTTTTGTTTTCTTCTCAGTCTTCATTGTATAAGCATCTACCAGTTGTTTATTCATTCTTCTGTTTATTGATGAGTACATGAGCTACATCCAGTTATTGGCTATGATGAAAAAAGCAACTATAAACATTGTTATACAAGTATTTTTTAGTTTTTCTTGGATTGATACTTAGAGAAATTGTTAGATCATTGATATTTTTATAGGTTTAGATGCATATTTAACTTTTTTTCAGTTTTCAGAATGGTACCATTTTATATTTTAATCATTGCATTGGGCTTTAAAGCCCAATTTAAAGTAGTATCTTTGTATATTTTTAGAATCCTTGTTTTTATTCTTTTCTTTTCATATTAGGGATTGAACCCAAGAATATGCTACCTCTGAACTGCATCTCAGCCCTTTTTTAAATTTTGATATGGGGTCTGGTTAAGTTGCCCGAACTGTCCTTGAACTCCTGATCCTCTTGCCTCAGCCTCCTGAGTAACTGGGGTTGTAGGCGTGTACTACTGTACCTGGCTTTTGTTTTATTTTTTAAAAGCTTTTATTAATATAGCTAAAATAAAATCTATTCATTTTAGTATAGTTCAGTGAGTTTTGATAAGCGCATGTATCCAGTGACTATCCTTACAATCAGTAAAGTATGTCTTTACCCCAAAAGTTTTCCTTGTGCCACTTCCCAGTTAGTGACCACCCCTATTTCTCCCATATGAGTCCATATCCCATGTACTTCTCCATGTTTCTCGGCTCTAAATCTAGTAGCTGTGCAGATTTAGCCTCTTCCCTAACTTCTGGGATTCTGTTACATTGCTAGTCTATGGATACATGATATCTTGGCTTTAGTATCACTATAAAAAGGAAAGGTGGGAAGAATTTTTTTTAAAAAATACAGAAAATTGTTATCCAAATCTAGTGTCTGGATTTAACAAATGTTCAAGTTTTGCGTTGTTTGCTTCAAATATCTGTAAAAGAAGGAGATATTATATGTGTAACTGGAGTTCAAGTCTTAGTTCCTTTTCAGTTCCCTTTCTCAGAAACGGTCACTTTCCTGAAGTTGGTGAGTTCATTCCCATGCATAGTGTATTTTTAAATATTTAAATGTAATGTATTTTAAATTTCTATATAAAGTTACATAACTATCAGTTATTTTCACTTAAAATTGTTTTTTAATTTAACTATATTGCATCCTTATATGAATTTTGTTTACCCATTCTTCTACTAGTGTAATTTCCTGTTGTCTTTATTACTACATGTGTTTCCCATTTCTCACATACTTGCCATTTTTTCCAGGTTAGTGGTTTGGAAACATAACTCATTTTCTGATTTGCCTTCCTCTGATTACTAGTGAAGCTGAGTATCTTTTCATCTGTGTGTGTGTGTGTGTGAATTGCCTCTTTATATTTTTAACCCATTTTCATTAGGATATTTGTATCCAGATATAGATTATCAGCACTTTGCCTCTTAGATACTAAAAATTTTTATTGTCACACGTTTTGAGTTTGTGTTATTGTAGCAACATATGCTTTGAATTCTGCTTTAACCAGATATGTGGAAAGAGTTTTAATACTCTCCCATTCTTAATGCTCCTCTTTTCTTTTTTTCTAGCCACAACTTGGAACAGGTGTTTGGCATGTTTAGATACTAGAAAACACTTATGTTTACGTCTGCATTTGAAAATGGCAGAAGGAAACAACAATGAAGAAGTAATTCACTTGAACAACTTTCACTGCCACCGGAGACAAGGTAAGTTGTTTGTTCTTACTTGGCAGTGTCTTTGAAATTAGCCTATTCTATACCACTTAGAATCTAAAGATATTCTTTTTTTTTTTTTTTTTTGCTATTTTTAATTTGTTATATATTGATAGCAGAATGCATTGCAATTTATATTACACATACATAGAGCACAATTTTTCATATCTCTGGTTGTACACAAAGTAGACTTGGTATATTCTATTTTTAGACCTCAGAACATCAGGCTTAACAGGACTTGTCAGACTAAAATTGTGTCAGATGATGATACCTGCTGGAATGAATGAAGTTCAAGAATCATCATCACACTGGGTAAAATCTCATGCCTAGAATCTCAGCTAGTTGGCTGAGGCAGGAGAATTGCAGGTTCAAGGCCAGCCTGGTCAACTTAATGAGACCCTGTCTCAAAATAAAAAAATGAAAAGAGCTGAAAATGTGAATTAATGGTAACGCACCATTGGATTCAGTGCCACTACCACCAAAAAGAGAGAGGAAAAAAAAGAATTACCCATCACAATAGATTAATACCCTATTAATTAGCTAGCCAAAAAGCTGTGAATGTGCAGTCAATGAGTCTGAAGAGGTGAGATTTTAGGACAGTGTCAGTTCTTTGTTTTTGAAGGAATGATAATTGTGCAGGAGTACTCCTAGGAGCTTAGTCAGAGGAAATATACAGCTTCAGCTTGGTGAATATTGCCATTTGCTCACCAGAATATCTGTCCCAAGTTTCCCTCTACTCCAACATGTATAAGATTTTCCATTTCTCACATACTTGTTATTTTCTAAAAGGAGTATAATTCTAGGCCTATAGGATTTAAAATACTATAGGTACAACTAAGTAGTCTTTCCCTTTTATGATAGTTACTTTCTTTTTTTGTCAGAAGATTCTGACTTAGCTTCATTGAGACTTAATTTTAGGACATTTTGTTTGCTTGTTTTATAGTGTTTAAAATCTTGACAAATTCATTGAAGGGAAGGGTCCTGCATTTCTGTAAAAGTCCTTCCTGTCAAATCCTAATTCATATTTATACCGGGGCTAAAAAGAAAAAAATCATGCTGATGAGTAGGAAAAGAATCCTTATTTATTTCTTGCAAGTACAAACTTCATAGAAGAAGCTATACTGGTTTTGTTTTCCTCCACTGATATATTTTTGTGCTTATGAAGATGATTTTTTTCCAGCAAGAGAATAAATTATATATATTTGTCTTTTAGAACATTGAACAACTTTTGTTAAGTCAATAAATTGAGTAAAATAAATAAACTCAATGTATACAAATTAAAAGTATAAAAGAAATACTGATTTTTAGAATTTTATTAATAGTGTATTCTAGCTTGGTAGTGATTTTAGCCATAATGCATTGTGATTCAGAAAGTTTTAAATCTCGGTTATAACTTGTTTATATGATCATTTATAGATTTTCCTCACATGTATATACAATTAATGTTGTTGTTACTTTTTAATTGGGCTTTAAATATACCTAAACACATTTTCTTTATGAAAACTAATTCCTTTTGGAAAATTATTAATTTGGGGAGTATATTTTCTGCTAGAAAAGTATATATACTCTATACCAATCACAAGGGCTTTTTAAAGACATATAGCATTATTTTTATTAGCTGCATTAATAATTTTCATTATACCAACCTCTGTTGGTTCTTTTAAGAATGAGTTTCAGTGACTTAATAAATGACATACAACATTTCCATCTGAAGAGTCCCTTATGCCTCTTTGTAGTCACTCCTCACCCCACTTCTGGCCTCAGGAAACTACTGATATGCTGCTTGTCACTATTTAACTTCATATAAATGGTACCATATAGTACATTCTCTTTAAACTAGAATTATTTCTGTTCACATAACGTTTTTGAGATTCATCCATGTGTTGTATATATTGATAATTCATCCCACCCTCACCCCACAGTTCTCTCCAGTAATGGGGATCTAAACCAGGTCTCTCACATGCTAGCAAGCACACTAACACTGAACTAATTTTGCAGGCCTCATTCCTTTTTTTTTAAAGAGAGAGAGAATTTTTTAATATTTATTTTTTAGCTTTTTGGTGGACACAACATCTTTATTTTATTTTTATGTGGTGCTGAGGATCGAACCCAGTGCCGTGCGCTACCGCTTGAGCCACATCCCCAGCCCCCTCATTCCTTTTTAATTGCTAAATAGCATTCTACTTTCTCACCTAAAACTTTCCACCCAGTGGAAATAGACTTAAAAATGAAGATAAAGGTTGATAGTATAAGTGTAGAAAATATACATCATACAAATAGCAAATAAAAGAGCTAGTTTGTAGAATTTCGGATAAAGTAGAAATTCCAGGCTAAAGTACTAGTGAAGATAGTACTAAGTTTATAATAATGAAAGGGTTGAAGTATGCAGAAGAAAAAAATAGTTCTAATTCCTGTACACTTAGAAACATATACAAAGAAAAAATTAACAGAACTAAAAAGGGAATTAGATAAACTGACCATCGTAATGGGAGATTTAACATTCCTTCAATAATTGAGAACGAGCATGCATACACAAACTGAATGAATAGAGAAGATAAGAAGAACATAATCAATAAACTTGACAAATTATGCATATGAAATACCGCATCTGGTATATTGACCAATATTTACCATATTTGGGGCCACATAACCATTTTCAAATTTCAGGGAAATGTCTGAAGCAAGAATATGGCGAGTTCCAGGCCAGCCTGAAATATGTAGCAAGACCTCCATCTTAAAAAAAAAATTGTTTTCAGGGGATTTAAATCATATACATTATATACTCTAACCACATTGGAATTAAGCCAAAAATCAGTTATAAAAATATTACTAGAAAATCCCTATATGTATGTATAGAAAGTAGGAATACACATAGAACTGCTCGTTATAATAGATATCACCAAAAAAATTAGAAAATAATTTTAGTTGCATGCTAATGAAAACAGATTCTGTGGAAGTTTATGAGATGCATGTAATACCATGTTTTGAAGAAAACTTACCTAAAACACATGTATTAGGTAAGAAATAAAGCTGGAGAATTAATATTATAAACTAGGTTCAGCAAACCTAAACGGTCAAATAATTAATACTTTAGCCTTGCAGGCCATGTTGTCTCTGTTGCTACTCAGGGATAACATTTTATCTACTAAAATTGAATATATACTTACTCTGTGATTCTGTGATTCCATTCCTAGAATATACCCAACAGAAACAAACACAGCTGAGATATGTACAAGGACATTCATAATAGCATTATCCAAAATAGCATAAATTAGCACCAAAACAAATGTCCGTTCAGAGAAGAATAATTTGTGATATGCATATAGTAGAATCCATACAACAAAGAGAAATGCAACATGGATGCATCTGAAAGGTGTTATTTGCAAGAAAGCTGGACTCAGAAGAATACAATCAAAGAAAAAATAATTTGTAGAGCTAGAACCTCCTCCCTTTAGGAATGACGGAGAGTGTAATGCTTGAGAGAGAACAGGGAGGCTACTGTTGTCCTAGAAATATTTCCTGACTTTGTGACGGTTATACACATATGGGCCTTTTAATTCACAGAACTGAACACTTGGATTTGTAGGCTTTGCTCTATTGTGGCTTAATTTTTTAAGATTGTTATTTGTGCACTTATTTATTTACTTATTTATCTTGTGGTGCTGTAATTAAATCCAGAAGCGCTTTGCCACTAAGCTATATCCCCATCCCTTTTTATTTATTTTTTTTGAAACAGGGTCTCACTAAGTTGCTAGCCTGGCTTTGAACTTGTAATCCTCCTGCCTTGGCCTCTGGAGGCACTTGGATTACAAGTGTGCACCACCATTCCATGCTCACCCCCAGACCTTTTTATTTTATATTGTAACAGGATCTTGCTAAGTTGTCCGGCTAGACTCAAACTTTTTAATTCTTGCAAGACACAATAGTTCACTCCTGTAATCCAGTGACCTAGGAGGCTGAGGCAGGAGAATCTCAAGTTTAAGGCCATTTAGCAAGACCCTCAGCAACTCAGTAAGACCCTGTCCCAGAATAAAAATTAAAAGGACACAGGATGGGTCTGGGGTTGTGGCTCAGTGGTGGAGCACTTGCCTCACACGCATGAGGCACTGAGTTTGATCCTCTGCACCATATGAAAGTAAATAAATAAAGATATTGTGTTCATCTACAACTAAAAAAAATATTTTAAAAAGAAAAAAAGGACTCAGAATGTAGTTCAGTGGTAAAGCGCTCATGGGTTCAATTCCCAGTACCACTCCAAAAGAAAAGAAGAAGAAAAAAACTTGAGGTGTTCTTTGCCCCAGTCTCTTGAGGAAGTAGGATTACAGGCATGTACCACTTCACCTGTCTTAAGTGTGTTTTTGTGTGCTTATATGGTGTGGTATTTTGTTTTTACAGTGCTGAAAATTGAATCCAGGGTCTCAGACATACTAGACTACTCTGTACCCCAGTCTTTTTTTTAGTTTTCATTTTGAGCAGGGTCTCATTAAATTGCTAGACTGGCTTTGAACTCAAGATCCTCCTGCCTTAGCCTTTCACCTTGCTGGGATTATAGGTATGTACTACCCTACATGGCCTTAACTCCTGTGTTTTTAAGATAATTGGAATTGTAGGTATTTACAGATGTATGATGTGTTAGGGTAAATCTTGCCAGCCATTGAACTTTACTGTAGGATGGTAGATTTGAAACCAACTTCTTCATTGGGTCCTCCAGGCCTTTTTCTTGGTCCATTTCTTTCTAAGAGCAATCTACAGTTTGCTGTATTTGGAATCTAAGACTGTGTGCAAGCATTCAGGGAACCAAGAAGCAGAAGGCAGCTAGGATCTTATCATTCATGATGTTCTTTTCAGTAGTACCCCTTCCATCTCTTGAGCCTTGTGCCTGGTATACCAAAGACTGGATCTTCTCTTATTTAGTACCTCTTTAGAGTGAACCTCTGTGGGATAAATATTCTAGCATGGATGAGTGAATAACTTGGCAAACCTCCCCTTTCCCCCCAAAATCCTTAATTACACAAAATTCTCAAAAACAACCATTTAAAGAATGGAAATTTACCAAAGGCATACAATAATTGGATGTTTACTTGCGGAAATCTAGTCAGTATGGTTTAAAACTGTGAAAATGTGTTGTGTTTTGGTCTGCTCCATTTGCCTTACCAACCCCTCAGATCCATTGTTTCAGGGTTCTATCTGGGCTGTGGGGCCAGAAGGAAATTTTTAATGCCCAGGGGCATTAAAAATCCCAGAGATAGCCAGAAAAGGCCAACATTGCAGTTAGTCTGAAGTCTGGATACTGGTTAGGGCAAGCAGTAGACCAGCAAATCAGCCAGTAATTTAATAGGGAGATCCAGGGAATGAAGACAACCAGGAAGCACCTTAATAAGCTGCTCTATATCTTGGATGTTCAGAAGGTCATACCTATATGCAAGGTCACACATACAATGCAAAGACCTAAGAGGGCCCTAGCAAACTGTTGGCAGAACATGAGGCTTTCTGAAGCCAGAACATGTAAATGCACTTCAATTTTGTATTCTCCAAGCCACACAGATCCATTTACAGAGTAGAAATCTTGATAGCTCACCAATCTTATGCTGACCCAAGGGTAATCCCTAGGAAGCAAGGCTTAAAAATAAAAACAAAAATTAGAAAGAAAAAGCCCTGAACAGAGATCATCCTGGTATACTATAGGAAAACAGTCTGCAGAATGAGTTCACATAAGTCACAAATGAAAATAAAACCAGCCTCAATGGGCTGGGGATGTTGCTCAAGCGGTAGCACGCTCGCCTGGCATGCGTGCGGCCCCGGTTCAAACCTCAGCACCACATACAAACAAAGATGTTGTGTCTGCCGAAAACTAAAAAATAAATATTAAAAAAAAATCTCTCTCTATCTCTCTCTCTCTCTTTAAAAAAAAAAAACAAAAAACAAAAAACAGCCACAACTACTGTGGGCCTTTGTGTCTGTCAGTTCTACAACTTTGGATTTAACCAACTGCAGATTTAAAATATATATACATATGTATTTTTTGTCTGTATTAAACATGTACAGACCTTTTTTGTTGTTGTTGTTCATTCCAAACAGTATGTTATAGTAAGTATTTACCTAGCACTTACATTGTTTCAGGTAATATAAGTAATATAAGAGATGATTCAAAGAGAGGATGTATTAGGTTATATGCAAATAATAAGCCATTTTACATAAAGGATGAGCATATACGGATTTTGTTATCCCCTGGGAGTCCTGGAACCAGTCCATCAGAAATATCAAGGGACAGTTTTACTTCTCTTGGGATGGAAATATCAAAATCCACAGTTGTTACTGTTGTCTTAAATAGTGTTCATCCAAAAATTGTGAGGCATTCAAAGTAATGGGAAAGTCTGAGCCCATGCATAGGTGAACAGTAAATAGTAACTGTCTGTGGGAACTTAGCTATTAGATTTAGTAAAAAAAAAAATAAAAGTTACAAATATGTTCAAAGAATTAAAGAAAACCTTGTTTAAAGAATTTACAGGGGGCTGGGAATATAGCTCAGTTGGTAGAGTGCTTGCCTTGCATTCACACTGCCCTGGGTTCAATCCCCAGCACCACCAAAATAATAATAATAATTTACAGAGGCTGGGGTTGTAGCTAAGTGATGGAACACTTGCCTGGCATGTGTGAGGCATTGGGTTCGCTCCTCACATACAAATAAATAAAATAAGGGTATTGTGTTTATCTACAACTGAGAAAATATATATTTTTTAAAAAAAAGATTTACAGAAAGCTTGATAGTAGTGGTTCATCACATAGAACTTCGGGATACCATCAGGCTTACTAATAACAAAAGTCCCAGGAGGAGAGGAAAGAAGGAGGAGGTTTGAAGAAAACATCCTATAGTTATGGAAAATCTCTATACATCCAAGAAGCTAAATGGACTCCAGGAGGGATAGATGCAAAGAGCTACAACTAGACTTATCTTGGTGTTTTGCCTGGGAGAGCTATGGCTTGTCACCTGGCTGTGTGGATAGAAGTCTGGAAGTTATCTTTGCTTAGAAAGAGTGAAGATTTTGAATCCCTCTGTTTATGCTCTCAGTAGTATCCTATGCCACCAATTTCTGAGCTTTTCTGGGTTTCTGCAGGAATTAGGCCATTTCTGGTTTGCTCTCCCTACTTTACACTTTGGGTTCAAACTTTCCCCACTCTGTCAAAGCACTTGCCACCTGTAAGTCTGCTGTTTCCTAGAATTTTGTTGAAATCTCTTGCCTGCTATAAATCTTCTTTCCTCTTTTTTTGCATTTAAGGGTTTATACTTTTTAAAAGTTCTTTTATTGTCATTTAGATGGGATTTCAGGAGGTGATAGTGATAACACTTTGGATTCATTCTCCCAGATTTAACTGGAAGTTCTTTCTCATGTACCTTCCAGGCCCTCAGTTAAGTTGGTTGTTTTGTTAGTCGCTCACTGTGAAAGATAGCATGGTATAGTGGAAACACCATTCGACTTGAAATTAGTCAACTTTACTCTGTATCAGGTACTATAATAAGCAAGCATTTTATATTGGTTTCCTCAACTGATCTTCACAGTTACTTGAAAAATAGGCACCATTACTCACCTTTTTTTCTTAACATTGGGGAAATGGATGTTTACACAAATTGGGTAGCAGCCAAAAAGCTAGCTTGTGCAGGAGTTGATATTTAAACCAGGTAGCCTAACCCAAGATTCTATAGATACACTATTGTTTTAAACTGCCATCTCTGTCATCATTGCAACTTTTTTTTTTTTTTTTTTCTGGTAGAAGGGATTGAACTCAAGGGCACTCAACTACTACTGAGCCACATCCCCAGCTCTAGTTGCTTAGGGCCTTGTTAAGTTGCTGAGGCTGGCTTTGAACTTGATCCTCCTGCCTTAGCCTCCTGAGCCACTGGGATTACAGTCATGTGCCACCACGCCTGGCCACTGCAACTCTCTTATAGGATTTTTGATTGCTTTTCAAATCATAGATTACCAAAATGTATACGAGACATGAACCTTGATAAATTCCTCAGTGGAGGAATTTCAAAAATTGTAACAATGATGCCTCTTTTCTTCTTTTTTAATATTTTATATATTTTTTAGTTTTAGATGGACACAGTGTCTTTATTTTTTATTTTTATGTGGTGCTAAGGATCGAACCTAGTGCCTCATGCATGGTAGGCAAGTGCTTTACCACTGAGCCACAACCCCCCACCCCCACCCTGCTGCTGATGCCTCTTTTCATGTTGCTGCTGCTATTGCTGCTTCAGTCTTTCTTTTTGGATACTGAACACATTTTCTCTTCATTGCCCATTTTAACCTTTACCATTCCCATGGAATCAGACAGGAAAAAATACAGCTATTTTTATGCAATAATTCACATAAAACATGATCAGCCTTCAGACAGGTAAAAGGAAGTAGCAATCTTGAGCAGAATTAATACATCTAGATGGTTAGTTTAACTATAGTTCTGTTTAAAAGGAAACTAGCAAAGTTAAATTGCTTATTGTTAGAAGTGCTAAATGGGCGCTTAACTAAAACATTGAAATGTTGACTTGAATAATCTTATAATTACTACATTGTATAATGTGTCTGTTTATGGCTATAATAAACAAATTTTAAGTATTAAGTGAAAATTTTACTTGTTTTGAGTGACAACTTTTTTAAACTTAGCAGTTTCAAATAAAAGTCTTTATTCTTGAGAGGAATAGAGATGGATAGGAAGCCATGATTTCACTCTAAAGAGATTGGCAGTTAAGAGTTTTAGCCACAGATTTCCCCAGCCTAATTTAAGATAATTAAATAACTGTTGATAATCTTGAGTATAATAATTGTCAGTTTTTCTCTAGCAATCCCAAAATACATTATTGAAAAAAAATCAACAGGGAATTTGGCTCTTACTGCTTGGGTGCATGTGCTGCTTTGAGGAGGTAAGTTAACATGAACTTGGCTTGAAGCTTAACCCTCTTCAGGCAAAAGTAGAATTAAAGGACTGAATATGATTGTGCCAGCCTCCCAGCAACAGTGTTCTGTGTTTTCCTGTAGATTGGATCAATCTCAGAGATGGGCCCATCACCATATCTGACTCCTCTGATGAGGAAGGGATTCCAATGCTGGTCACCCCAGCTCCTCAGCAACATGAGGAAGAAGACCTGGATGATGATGTCATCCTGACAGAGGTGAGTTTTTTAAAACTTACCATGATATGAGGCATTATTGCAAATTAGTGGTCTGAATTCTTATGCCATTCTCTGGGTCTTGTAGAATAATTTAGAGCCACCTCTTTGCACTTTCTTAGATTTCCGAGAACAGCCCCCTTTCCAAACTCTACTTATGTCCCCTTACTTTTGAAAGCTATATGTTTGGGTCTGTTTCTGTAGTTAACTTCTCCACCCTTGCTCCCTCTGAATGTTTGCCGCAGTCTGGCTGGGCACAAATGCCGCAGTCTGGCTGGGCACACAATCACGAGCCACCACACAGCTTGTAGTTTCAAACAGCAACTCTTTATTCCCGAACTCACACCAGCTGTCTACAATCACGTTCTGGGGAAATCCACGTTCTCTTCCCAAATCCACCTTCTCTCCCAAATTCACCTCCACTGGGCTTCTATCTCCAAAATATACTGTCTGAATCCCTGAGAACTCAAGGGGAACTCAGGCAGCAGGATACGCCCTATTCCCAGCAGGAATAATCTTAAACCTTAAACCTGGAACCTAAACTGGGAACGCCCTAAACAAGATTATCTTAAAACCGGGAACACCCTAATCTGCCTTGGTCCTTGAGCAAGGTCACTTACATTCAATGTCACTGCAACATGTCAGCAACATGGGGTACGCTGGCAAGGAAATTGTCATACTTACTTGGCTAATGGCTCCCAGCAAATGTTCATGCACTAGTCTGCACTGTTTTGTGATTATACATTATGTAAGGTTTTTCTGTCACACAGAGCTTTTCTCCCCTTATTACCATAGTTTCAGAGTCATTCTGGATATTCTTGTGCTTATGTTTTTACGATCAGGTTTTCTAGTTTTAAAATATAGATAAATAGACATAGATAATCAGTCTGTCTAAATGAAAAAGTTTTGTCTTCCATATAGTGTAGCCATCTTTTATATTCTTCCAGCAGAGCATTTTGAGTTTTTCTTAATACAGATCTCATACACTCTTTATTATTTATTCCTGGTCATTTTCTCCTTTTTGTGCCTTTTTGAACTTTTTAAAATTTTTAAATTCTTTGCTTTTTATATTAATTTCATACCTTTATTGTCCATAGTCAGTTGACTTAATGTGAATCTGCATCTCATCTATTTGCAAATAATGATACTTAAAAGAGTTTCTGATTTTTCCATTTTTATACTTCTTTCTTTTCTAATGTATTGTAATACTTTCTCAAATTTTTTAAGTAGTAGTGGTGATAGGATTAGCCATGGATATGAATGCCTTTTAATATTTTTAATATTTCCTCCTTGAGTATGACAGTGCCTTTTTGCTTTAGATACTATTTTTAAAAAATTATGTCAAGGAAATAGTCATTTACTTCCACTTTATTTCAAGTATTTCCTATAAATGAATGTAAAATTCTGTCAAATTGAATTTCAGTATATTTGAAGGGTATCATGTGATTTTCTTTTTTGATCTGTTGATATAGTAAATTATTCTGTCACTGAAGAAACTTCACTTAGTTATGGTATTGAAACATGATGGTAATATACTAGATGAATTCCATTTGCTAATATTTTATTTGGGGTTTTCTCATCTTATAAGTGAGATTGAGCCATAGGTTTGAGTATATGTACCTTTTTACTCTTTTACAACTTTTTCTGGGGGGGAGGGGGTAGTGCATGGTGGTGATCAAACCCAAGGCCTCACATATGAGAGAAAAAGCTCTACCACTGAGCTACATTTTTTTAAAATATTTTTTTAAGACAGAGGCTCGAAAAATTACCAGGCTGGCTTTGAGCTTGGCTGCTTTCCTGCTTTAGTGTTCTGAGTAGCTAGGATTACAGGTGTGCCATTATAATGCCTTAACTTTTTTTTAATAAACATGATCCTACTTGTAAAAAGAATGTTGTTTAAACTTGTTTGTGGTTTAAAGTGTATTTAATAGAATTAAACGCTTTCCCTTTCTATTTAATATATTTGTTTTTCCTCCTTTTGTTTTCTCACCATTATTTTTCCTTCCTTCTTTACCAAAGAAACAGCTTTGAGATTTACCTTACAGTGCTGCTGTTTGTTTTCTTAATTTCTACTTTTGTTTTCAGTAATTTTTCTTCTGCTTAAGCTTATTTAATATTCTTTTTAGTGTTCATTTTATGGTCCTTTTACTAGTTTTCGTGGGTAATTCATTCTTGTTTTTAATTTTATTGTTCTGGTTACTTATTACCATGTAACTTATCACCTCAAAACAATGATTTATATCAATTACAGTCATTTTATTAGCTCACATAACTTTTGTGGAACAGGAATATGAAAAGAGGTCAACTGGATAATTCTGGCTGGGGGCTCTTGTTTGGCTGTGTGTCAGATGGTTGCTGGAGCTGGAGTAGGCAGGGACTGGGGCAGATGAACACGGGCAGGCATCACTGTCTGTTAGGGCTAGCCCATGTGATCTCTCTTTTTAACAACTTCATTAAGATATAACTTATATACAAGACCATTCATTTAAATTGTGTAATTCAGTGGTTTTAGCATATGAATGTTCAGAGTTGTGTAACCCTCACATGATCAATTTTAGAACATATATATCACACTAAAAAGACATTCTCTTACTGTTAGCAGTAACTGTTTTCTCCCAAATTGTGCCCACAACTCCCCAATCTGTGCAAACCTATGCAGTTTGCTTTCTATCTCTATAATTTGCCTATCATGGAAATTGCATATAAATGGAATCATACAATACATAGTCTTTAGTGGCTCTTTATGCAGCATATTTTTAAACTATCCATGTTACAGTATATATCATACTTAATTCCTTTTTTAAAAGCAGCCTTTATTGAGGTACATTTCATATACTATGCAATTTCTCTATTTTAATCATGTGATTCAATAGCTTTTAGTATAAGCACATAGTTTTGCATCTATCACCATAGGCACTCTTAGAACATTTTCATTACCCCATGAAAAAATCCTATACCTCCCAATCCCTTGTTCTGTCCTATCATAATCAACCATTAATGTACCTTCTGTGTTCTTTGCCTATTTTATTATTATGTGGTCCTTTGTGGCCATCTTCTTTAAGTATGTTTTCAAGGGTTAGCTGTGATGTAGCATGAATTAGTATTTTATTTGTTGATGAACAATATTCCATTTCTTTGCTTTACTTCCTTTTGTTTATCTTCTCATTGTCTGATTGACAGTTTTGGCTATTATGAGTATGAATCATGTTGCTATGAACATGCACATTACAAGTTTGTATGTGGACATATTTTTCATTTCTGTTGGCATATACCAAGAATTGCTGGATCATATGGTAACTATATTTAACCCCTACCAGATTTGTGGCCAGTGATGTTAAGCAGCATCCTTTGACTTAGTTTTAGATTTACTGGCCATTTTTGTATCTTTGTATTTTCAGAGAAATATCTGTGAAGACCTTTTGTATTTTATTTATTTTAATATTTTTTAGTTGTTGATGGACCTTTGTTTTATTTATTTGTATGTGGTGCTGAGAATCGAACCCAGTGTATCACGCATGCTAGGCAAGTATGCTACCACTGAGCCATAACCCTAGCCCTATTTTTTTAATCAGGAATTGAACACAGTGGCACTCGACCACTGAGCCACATCTTTAACCCTATTTTGTGTTTTCTTTAGAGACAGGGTCTCACTGAGTTGCTTAGTACCTCACTTCGGCTAAGGGTAGCTTTGAACCCTTGATCCTCCTGCCTCACCCTCCCCAGTCATTGGGATTACAGGTGTGTGCCACTGTACCCAGCCCATGCCTACTTATTTTTGATAGTAAGTCATTGTATATGAATATTTTGAAATTCTAGATTACATTTTCTTTCTCCACAGAGGACCTACACTTATTTCTTGAAGAAGATTAAGGGTATAGGAAATCTCACATTGAGGGAGATTTTTGTTTGTGTATTTTTGCTTTTTAACTTTATTTTTTTCATGTAGTGCTGAGGATCAAACCCAGTGCCTCAAACATATTAGGCAAGTACTTTACCACTGAGCCACAACCCCAACCCCCACTGAGGGACTTTTAAAACTATCCACACTAGGATTCATTTTCTGGGAGGTCTAATGTATTTCTAGTATACCCTTACTTCAGTGGTATAATCCTCAAGAACTTACCATATAGCTTGAGATTTACCAAGACCTTTTTTAGGGGGGAGGGGGGGTTTCCTGTATTCTGATTTTTATGCCCTTAGCTCCTCAGTAAGTGTATCAAAGTTTCTGTTCATCTATTGATAATTCATCCAAGTCTGGGATTGACAGATGCATGTTTTGGGAACAAGTACCCCAAATGTAGGGGCCCATTTTGCTGGATTTCCTCTTCCTGGATCATGATTCCCCTATCTCTCTGAAGTCTTGAGGCAGCTGTTTTTGTTTTGCTTTGATTTGTTTCAATATTCTGACAAGGTTTTCTACTTTTACTCAGTAGAAGGGTTAAACCTGGTAATGCATCTGCAATTACGGGAGCCAGAAATCTCCTCTTAGATCTTTATTCAAGCTTTTTGAGTCACTGTGCTCTCAGTACCTCTTGATTATATAGTTAAGTACTTGGATTTTTTCTTGTAGTTCTGTTTAAAGAATCTTTGAAGTTGGTGGGAGGATCCTATTTACTTTAATAAATAGTGCCAAAATTGCTCTCCTAAATACTAGTAGTCATTGATAGTATGAGAGTTTTTGTATATCCACATTAGTGCTTTATACTATCTAAAAGTCTAATTGAGAAATTTTTTCTTGTTTTAATTTTTGTTCTCCTGATTACTAATGAAATTTATATTATTTTCATGTTAATTGAACAACTTTGGTGTCTCTGCTGTGTTGGCATTCTTTCATTAAACTGATGCTTCACATCTATAAATGGCTACTTTCATTTTTACAAACTGTAAAGTGTTATACTACAGTGTTAAGAATAATACTGGGGGGAAGACATTTTTGGTTTCCCTTTCTTTCCTGTACTTTTACAGAAACTCAGTATAAGCACATATTGAGGCATAGACATAGAAAATAAATTGAATTATTATTATTAAAATTTCATTTTTTCTTAGACAAATAAACCTCAGACATCACGACCCAATCTCATCAAACCAGCTGCCCAGTGGCAAGATCTGAAAAGATTGGGAGAAGAAAGACCTAAAAAGTCTAGAGCAGCCTTTGAATCAGATAAGCGCAGCTACTTTTCAATGTGTAACTACTCATTGTTTGATTCTGGGACACAGGATGATTCTGAGGATGACTACGGTGAATTTCTGGATCTTGGGCCTCCTGGTGTCTCTGAATTCACTAAGCAAACTCACCAAACAAAAAGAGAGCCCAAACCTGGACCAAGTCATAACCAAGGAGCAAATGACATCAACCCTAAATCTGAACCAAAAATTATTATCTTGGGAAAAAGCGGCCTTCTTTTCCCAGAAAATGATCCTTTGGAAGCTCAGAACCAGTCATCTGAAGACTCAGAGACAGAGCTTTTATCAAATCTTGGAGAATCATCTGCTTTAGTAGATGATCAGGCCATTGAAGAAGACTGTTGGATAGACCATCCTTACTTCCAGTCTCTAAACCAACAGCCCCGTGAGAGAACAAATCAGGTTGTTCCCCAGGAGCGGCAGCCTGAAGCAGAACTGGGCCCCTTGTTATTTCAACATGAACTCCCAGGGCCAGCTTTTCCAAGACCAGAAGGCCAGCAGGATGGGATTCCAGGCTCTGCTTCTCCTCAGCCTGCCCATCCTCTAGGAGAGCTTGAAGACCAACAGTTAGCGACTGATGATGAAGAGCCAGGGCCAGCCTTTCCCCTGCCAGGATCTCAGGAGGCCAAATTGGAAAACCTCTGGGGGCAAGATACTGCTGAGGTAGATCAAGACCTTGTTGCACTGTTAGTGAAAGAAACAGTAAGTTGTTGTTGTTGTTATTATTATTATTATAAAAATGTAGGCATTAAATATTGCTGAGTTTTCTTTCATTCAAAAAAAGAAAAATGTGGGCTGGGATTGTGTTCAGTGGTAGAGCGCTCGTGTAGCACGTGCAAGGCCCTGGGTTCGATCCTCAGCACCACATTAAAAAATAAATAAATAAAAAGGTATAAAAATTTTAAACAAAAAAAAAAAAAAAAGAAAAATGTGGACTTTATTTTCATAAGAAGTACATATATCTCAATGTATAGAAAAAATAAACTGAAGAAATGAAAATGGAATCAGAATTCCTTAATCTATACTTAATCTTCAGGAAGCCTTCTAGGGTGGTAGCTACATACCATGGTGTTGCAATACTGCAAATCCCTGTTTTTCAAAGGCCTCAAGTTCACTCTAGATTCAAACCTTTACAGCAAATTTATTGAATTTCCTAGACCCATGCTGTCCAGTATGACAGCATGTACCCTCAGTTATATGTAAACTCCCAGATGTTTATGTTTACATGTCTTACAATTAAATAAAATTATAAATTAGGTTCCAGTAGCTGGGTCACATTTTAGTGTTAGTAGTCATGTGGGGCTCACAGCAAACAAAGTATGTTTTCATCATTGCGGTAGTTCTGTTGGACAGAACCACTATGAAGAGTAATGTAGGCCTTTTATGTCTAGAGTCAGCTGCTTTTTGCCTTCGATGAAGTCCCCATCCCTCCTTCTTCACCCAGGGTTTTTCCATCTGGCTTACTATGTGTGAGCCTCTTGAGGGCAGGCATGGGATTTTAATCTCATTTGTCTTTGGGCTCCTTTTGCCTGGGTAGTGGTACTCAGTATGTTTTATATAATGAATGGGTGTGCAAAATGAGATCATGGGCCAAATGTAGGACTCCTCTAGACTTCATCTTCTGTGTATTCTGATGAACCTGGGAACCCAGTGCTTAATTTTAAGCCACATACAGAACTGCTTTACAGCCCCTTTTTTAAAAAGTCCTTAGTCATTCATTTTTACACTTATTACCATTGGGTTTTAATTGCCATTTATTTCTAGTGAATGAAATATAGTATTCTTATTTCCTTCACAGGAAGCAAGATTTCCAGATGTAGCAAATGGGTATATTGAAGAAATAATTCACTTGAAGAATTATTATGATTTGAATGTGTAAGTATACCACCCTGCTGCTTTTTTTGGTGGTGGTAAATAGTACATAACATTAAATTATCATTTTAACCATTTTTAAGTGTACAGTTCAGTACATTAAGTAGATAATCATTATGCAGCAGTCACTACCAGCTATCTGCAGAACTCTTTTTTTATCTTTCCAAATTAAAACCTTGCACCTATTAAACAGTGACTCCATGTCCTCTTCTTTCCCAGTCCTTAGTATCTACCATTCTTTCTGTCTTAAGGAATTTAACTACTTTAGACCTGTCATGTAAGTGGAATCATACAGTGTTTGTCCTTTTCCAACAGGCTCATTTCATTTAGCACTGTATCTTTTAATGATGGTAATTCTAACATTAGTCATATACAGACTGTTCTCTGGTTCTTGGAGAATCCATGATTATGTAATTATGATACCTGATTGTTCCTGAGCATTCACTGCTGGTGCTTTGATCATGATGTTTAAAGTTGTTTTCTTCCCTACAATAGTAACAGAAAATGTTTTGCAACCAATCTGCCTATAAATGCACGGGAAAAGTGTCCTGAAGAAAATAAAATGAAAAATAAGTCTATTTATTCTTTTGCTCTTTGTCTTCCTTCTAGTGTACCAAAGGGAAAGAGTTGCATATTTATTTTTTATTGGTTTACTTTGGTGTGGGGGATTGAACCCAAAGGCTCTTTAACCCTTAGCTATTTCCCTAGCCCTCTTTTTTTTGGAGACAGAGTGTCACTAAGTTGCTTGGGTTATGCTGAGTTGCTGAGGCTAACCTTAAAATTGTGATTCTCCTACCTCAGCCTCCTGAGTTAGTGGGGTTACAGCTATACACCACCACACTAGGTTATAAATTTATAAAGAAACGTTGAATATTGAAGGTTAATCAAATTTTCAAAGAATTAATGTGGTTTTTTTTTTTTTAAACAAAAGAAGAAGTAGTATACTTAAACCCCTGTCCTCAAAAGCCAAGTAAGTCTTCTGTGGTTCTCAGCCAAGGGTACAAGTGGGTCTGTTCACCTCAGCTCCTTTTTTATTTGTACAACGACAGGTCGATGCCAGTAGTGGCCTTGCATAATTCTACCTTTGTGTCTGTCCAGAGGCAGCAAGTTGCCAAGTTTTAAACCAGGATTGGATTAATATTTCTTAATCTATTTATCTTCTTAATTAATAGTAGGCCCTGCTTGTGTGTGTTTTTTTAATATCACTGCCCCCCCACACACATCATTTTTTACCATAAAAAATTGGTGAATACCCATATATTTACCACTTATATTATTATCTTGTATTCTGCTGTAAAGGTGATTTTTTTCGTTTTACTTCTTTCTATTTTTTTTCTAAGTAACTATGAATTTAAGGAGTTTTAGGTCATGGTTTAGAAACAATTACAGTCATTTTCTTAATACTGAAATTGTTTCATTTTTAACCAAGGGAGTTTCTTAAGATGCAGCTATATCTTTTTGGTGTGAACTCATTAGACTCTGAGCACTTCCTTAGTTCCTCAGATAATATCATAGTGCCCTAGACTTGCCTTGAACTTCTTCTGCCTCAAACCTGAAATCTGTCAGTCTCTTAGAAACCCTAAATTTGGGGCTGGGGATGTGGCTCAAGCGGTAGCGCGCTCGCCTGGCATGTGTGTGGCCTGGGTTCGATCCTCAGTACCACATACAAACAAAGATGTTGTGTCTGTCAAAAACTGAAAAATAAATATTAAAAATTAAAAAAAAAAGAAACCCTAAATTTTTAGATGAGGATTGAGATTTATAAACTAAGATCTCAGAATTGCTATCATTCTGTGTAATCCTTTCACTTGGGTACGAAAAGGAGCTAGAGGTAAGCGCTTATTCTCTCTCATTTTCCTGCTAGACCTATCTATCTTAGAGGACCCACAATTGACATTGGACGAGAGAAGTGAGAACAGGGCTATTGGGAAGGAATTAGGGGTTGAGCACCCAGATGAAGATGGGTTACCCTACACATCATCAGGATTGAGGAAAAAGAAGGATAGAGAAGAGGGGAAGCCACAGTTGCCCTACAAGCAAAGATGCTTTCTTGCTTCTGAACCCCACCCTGGCTGTGGGTTCATACCTAGTACAGTCTGATCGTCCTGCTAATGGATGAAGAGCTTGGATAGTTAACTTTTTCATACTTTTCGTGATGAAGAATAGCTACTTTAGGCCCGAAGCTATAGCTCAGTGGCAGAAAGCTTGCCTAGCACGTGTGAGGCACTGGGTTCGATCCTTAGCACCACATAAAAATAAACAAAAAAGTAATATCTACTTTTCTTCTAAATGCCCCAATTTGACACTGTTGAACCATTAGTAATTTCAGTGACTTCCTTGCATTGACACCCAACTAATGGGTAAGTTTCAGAGAAGTTTGCATTTATCAGGATGTTCATTGTTTTGTAAACTAGCAAGCAAAAAAGAAATTCATTGTGATTATTTTTGTTTATTATTTGTTTAGTTTTTCTGGCTGCAAACATCTTGATTATTTGATGGGCCAGTTGTCCTTTATTTTCAAATACTACATTTCAATCAGTGGGCATAATGTGGGGCTAGAAACAGTACGAAAGTAACATCATGTGTTTTTGCAGACTTTGTAATTTTCTTCTGGAAAATCCAGATTATCCAAAGAGAGAAGATAGAATCATTATCAACCCCAGCAGCAGTCTGCTCGCCAGCCAGGATGATACAAAGGCAAGTGTCCTATGTGAGTTTTGCCATTTCTACTTGAAAATGCTGTGCCTTTTTCTTTATTCTTATGGAAAGGAAGATTTTTGTGTGGACATATTTTTAAAGACTGAACTATTTTCCCTAAGATAGGATCTCACATTGTACCAGTACTTTGGAATCCCTCACCCTGAGCCATTTTGAATTCCTCTAATTATTCCTTTAATCTTTCCTTTTCCACAAAGAGTTAAGCAAATCCTTCCTATCTTTAATCCTACAGAGGAAATTCCTTAACGTGGAATAAGAATTGGCCAGGATTGTTTGTATTGTTATAGTAGTATTATTTTAAGCATTTTATTATGAACATTTTCAGACACACTGAAAAGCTAAAATATTTTATATTAATAACCTGTATTCCCAACAGTGTTGCTACAAAAAAGTTAACATTTTATTAATCATTGTCTTTGTTATCTAAGCCAGCTTTCAGTATTTTGAATCATGGAGGAAGCTATAGTTCAAACCAATGCATTAAGCTCTAGTGCTTGGTCGTCTGTTCCCCACAGTTTCATTTGACTTTTTTCCATGTTCTGAAGTAGGAAAAATTTTTTTTTTTTTTTTTTTCCTTCCCTCTAAACATTTTATGGGAGGAAGATGGCTGAAAGATTGGGTTCAAATCTCTAGCTGTATCTTACTCTAACTAGTATCTGGACTAGTTTAAGATCTCTGATCCACCATTTCTTCATCTCTGTTATGGAGCTGATAAACCCCCTCATAGAGTAATTATGAGAAAAATGAGATTATTCTTTTCTGTAACAGGTAATTCTTAAAATGATTTCTCTTTCATTAGGAAATGCACTATCTGGCCTCTAATTTTGTGCTTCTCTCTCGTTTCAGTTGCCTAAAATAGACTTTTTTGACTATTCCAAATTGACTCCTCTTGACCAGCGCTGCTTCATCCAAGCTGCAGACCTCCTGATGGCCGATTTCAAAATGCTCAGCAGTCAGGACATTAAGTGGGCCCTGCATGAGCTCAAAGGACACTATGCAATCACTCGAAAGGTACTCTACTTGATCTTCCTGTTGGTGTCATAACTTTTTGGCTACATTTCTTGTGATAAAGAAATGAAGAACTACAAGACAGATAAAACTCACCATCTCCTGGAAAAAAAAAAAAAAAAAACTCAGCTTGGCAGAAATTGAGATGGTTTATGATGCAGAGAGCTAAGGAGTGTATCAGGGTACAGATAAATAGGCAAAGGTATTTATTAAACAGAAAGAATTATTAGAGTAAAAGCAGGTAGGTTTCAGTTTGAACATGAAGACTAGAGGTTGATATACTTTATTATGGACTGCAGGATGAAATATGAAGGGCATGCTGACCCCGCTACTGCCTCATTTGCTTTGACTTGCGACAGGTCACACAATCATCCTCCAGGTGGCTCAGTGGTGTCAGGAACACAGTGGTGTCCAGTGACAGTGGTTTGCCTCAGGAGACAGTAGGCAGCTCCTAAAAATTCCCAGTACTTTCCCTGAGAATTCCAAAGGAAATACCATGTGAAGACCTGTGCTCCAGGACTTAGGTTCTGGTGTCTGGTAGGTAGCACAGACACTCATTTAAATGAGAAGCATATTGCACAGTGCCCATTCCATTGCATTGATCATTTGGGACAGGATGAGCACCAATGACATCCCTAGTTTACTCCTTTTGTTCCCCTTGCTATAATTAAATCCTGTTCTGCCAGAGTGCTTGTAATTCCCTGAAAACGTGGGCTTCCCAGGAGCCAAACATGGAGTTATTTTAATGGTTAAGATACCCACAGGGTGCTGGGCTCCATAGTGCACACCTGTAAGCCCAGCTAGGGCGAGACAGGAGGATCACAAGTTCCAGGCAAGCCTGGACAACTTAGTGAGACCCTGCCTCAAAATTTAAAAAATAAACAAAAAAGGTTGAGTACTGCTAGATTAAAACCTGGTGCTGGGGGATGGAGGTGGGATAGGAGGGATGACAGTTTAGGACATCTTGCTATATTAGAATGATGCATGAGAGTTCTGCACTGAAGACAGTGACTGCTCTGTGGGAAGGAGAATAGAAGGTAGACCCAAAGACATTCTTATATTATACTAATAGTACTGCTTCTCTTTGCCACTCCCAAATGTGATCACTCAGGAATTTATGTTCACTGTAGAGACCAGGTCACATTTCCCTGGGCTTGTTTTTAATTCTTTATTATAAACATCATAGACTTACATGTGTACTTTTACATAAGTAAAGATTGTGGGCTGGGGCTGTGACTCAGTGGTAGTGCACTCATCTGGAGTGTATGAAGCACTGTTTTTGATCCTCAGCACCACATATAAATAAATAAATAAACTTATTGTGCCCATCTACAACTAAAAAAAAATTTTTAAATAAATAAATAAAAGTTTAATGACGAGCCCCCATTTACCTATCACTTGTCTTTGGTAATCCTCAATTCACTCTCAGTTTTGTTTCATCTCTACCCCTAGCTATTTTCCTCCTCAAGATAATTTTGAAATAAATTTCAAATTGCAAACATCTTTTTTTTTTCCACAAGTATTTCAGTGTTCAAAAAGGTAAAGATTCTTTTTAAAAACAAAATCAAAATACCATTATCACACCTTCAAAATGAAATCATCAGTATCCAGTCAGGGTTCACATTTCTCTGAATATGATAGAAGCCAATTCACAGCTTGTTGATCACATCAGGTTTCAAGTAAAATCTGTTTATAGGGCCAGGGCTGTAGCTCAGTGGTAGAGCACTTGCCTAGCACATGTGAGGCACTGGGTTCAATCCTCAGCACCACGTAAAAAAAAAAAAAAACAAGTGAAAGCATGCTATCCATCTACAACTACCAAAAAAAAAGTGTTTAAAAAATCTATTTATAGCCATTCATTAGCATTAATATGTTGCTTAATTTTCTTATAATCTATTCTCACACCTTCCCACTCTATTTTTTCTTGTAACTTTTTCTCTTTTCTTTTTTTTTTTGGTACTGGGGATTGAACTCAGGGACACTTGACCACTGAGCCATATCCCCAGCCCTATGCCCTATTTTGTATTTTATATAGAGACAGGGTCTCCCTGAGTTGCTTATTAGCACTTTGCTTTTGCTGAGGCTGGCATTGAACTCGTGATCCTCCTGCCTCAGCCTCCTGAGCCACCACACCTGGCTCTAGCTTTTTTATTAGAAAAAATGGGTTGTTTATCCTAGAGGTTTTAACAATTCTAATTTTGCTGACTACACCCCATGTTGTTACTAACTAGTTCCATTGTCCCCTGCATTTCATATAAATAGCTAAATTATCTAGAACCTTGATCAAACAACTTTTGTTTTGTAGATTTTTGTTTGTTTTGCTTTATTTACCTCGTATTTTAATTCCCATTCTGCTCCTTGTTAGTCTGTGATTTGAGCAAGTGTCTAAAACTTGCTGAGCTTCAGTTTTCTTATAGTGTGAAGTGGATCTCTTACTTGGCTATTAGAAGAATTAGATGAAACAACTGGTGGGGAGGGTGGGGGCCTAAACTGCAGCATTATTTTCATTTCAGTACCGCGCGCTAACCACTGCACAACTGGAGCCACTGCAGCATTATTTTCAGAGCCAGTCCTTGAGATGATGTTACAAGAGCTTTCGGATGACTTATACCCTCCTTGGGTTTGTAGCACTGGATTCAAACCATAGAGAATTGTCACCCAAAGAGTGCCTGACCTGTTCTGCTTCTAGTCTAGGGTGGGGAAGCTCAGCATGCAGGAGATGCTGCTCCCTGTATGTGTGCAATTTTATATCAGCTCACCTCTTTTTATGGAAGTCTTCTGTAGATAGGAACCTTGGGAACCCCAGAGTAGCTATAACGTTTCTATGCCTTTACATTTTTTTTGTTTTGTAAAGCTCTCTAGGGACAAAAATGCTATCTCAGTGCCAAGTGTTTTTAATGAATAACTTCTAGCGAGGGAACTGGTAAAACCTTAAAATTCATAGCAGCAAATAGATCATAAAATGAATATTTATCAATTCATTTCCCTGGTTGAAGTGTCAAATATTGCTAAAATGCTTATTTATAATTTGGGGGGTGGAGGGTAGTGCAGGGGATTGAGCCCCTAGGGCTTTGGCTTTGTGCTTCTAGGCAAGCATTCTGTCAACTGAGCTGTATTTCCAGCCCCTTGTTTATAATTTTTTAAATGGCAGGCTGAAGGCCTCTTCTTCAACCTTTTCCTCTGCTCTCCAGAGGCAGCTTCTCTACTTTATCTATTTTTTATCTTTGTTCTGAAATTTACCCCCATGTTTTTTAACATATTTGTGCTTGAACTGATGAGCTTTGAAAATTATTTATAGCTTTCTCTTGTGATAGATAAGGATCCTAGCTCTTACTTATATACCCACCTACTCATCTTTTTGATAGACATGTTTTTTGTCAAATCTATTTTCAAAGTTTCATATTTTTCTTTATTATGATTATGGGAATGTTCACTGCTGGGCAAGTATCATAATGTTTCCTTTGTTGAATTTCCTATTTACCCTGGTGTTAAGATTAACTGTCCCCCATATTTTCATTTGCTTTGGTTTTCTGTTGTATTGTTTTGGTTAGCTAAGTCTCCAGACACAACAGCTCAAACACAGTTCTGCATATTGTCTCAGCTGTCAGTTTAGCCCTCTGTTCATTATCCCAGTCTTCCTCCCTGCTCCAGGCTTTTCTGTCTATTCTATGTACTTTGTGCACAACCATCATCCTGAGACTTAACTTCACCTTCATTCTCAGGAAATCCCGTCACTTTTCTCCTTTCTCCTGCATTCTAGATCCCACAACTGTCTGTCTTGATTTGCATACTCAACACTTAACCGAGAGCCCCACTGTGTTGAAAATACTTCCCCTCTAATTTTTTCTAGATAATTTTGCCACAGATGTGAATACCTCTTTTGTTCAGTTTGTTGATTGCCTACCTCAGTCCATGCACCAGAAATATCATAAGAACAGTACATAGCCCCTTCCCTTCTAGGGCTTAATACTATTGAGCCATCTTGGGGTTTTATATTGTTGTTTGTTTTCCATGCTGGCAATTGAACCCGGGCTTGCACACGGTAGGCAAACACTCTACCACTGAACTACATCCCTCGCCCTAGGCCATCTTTTTTAACCCACTCTTAACTTTTGTACTCTAAGGTAGTTGTTTTCAGCATCTCTACCCCTTGGACTTCTGTTTTTCATGTGGCTTTAATGGTCATCTTGGTCTCTGCACATCCCCAGCTCCAGACCCAGCTTCTTTACAAAGATAGAGTCTCTGTTTACCCTGCAGCCTTAATGGCATCCCATACCCATTGTAGTGTTTCCTGGTCATTTGTTACAGAAGCTTCAGCCATTGTAACTGATGTCCTAAAAATCTTATTAGACTATATCCTTAACTCTCGGCATTAGTATTTGAGTGGCTGCTTGTGGCTGCTTGATTTATGAATGTGAACAAACTGGGAGGATGCAGTCTAGAACTAGACAGCCAAAGTAATACTGTTCTTGAACACCTCTTATTTCTAGGATTCTTACTTGATGGTAGATACCAGGCAAACCCTGAAAATACTGGCATCAGTAGACTATGATGTAGGAGCTAGGAGTGTAGCGCAGTGGGAGAAAGCACATGCCTGGCATGCGCAAGGCCCTGAGTGGGATCCCACTACCATACACAAAAAAGTAGCACATAGAGTAGCTTCCATTCTGGTTAGGGATATTAGGTTGAGAGCACTAGGAAAGAAGATGTCATATGAACAGAGTCTTTGGAAAAATGTTTTCAACTGAGCAATGATATGTACAAATGCTTAGAGCCCAGAAAAAGTGGCCCGTGTGCCTTGGGGTTGCATAGATAAGCATTTCTCAAAAAGAATTCTCATCTTATAATCTGATTCTGTCTGATCTATTTAATTAGACTTTGAATCAATAGTAATAGAAGTGATGATTACTAAGATAACCATTAAGGTAAGGATTTGGAGACTCCTTTAATTTATATACCACATTATTATAGATAGAAGTACTAGTTGATGTTGTTATTATGTGGCTTTTCCTCTGACATTTAGAAACAGTATTTAAATAGGATAATGATCCCTTTAGGTTTCCTGTGTGGATCCTCAACCTGTGGCTTGGTTACAAAACAAGCATACCACCATTCAGGAGCTCTGAGTTCATATTCCAGTCTCATAGCATGCTGAAAATGGCACATACACTTTAGTTACTTCATTTGTGAAATGCGGATTGTGATTCTTGTCCAACTTTCTTTCCTGGACTTCTGCAAACACTCTAGTTAAAGCATGGGGCATCCTTTAGATAAGACTTGGTAAACATTAGTAGTCTTGCAGTTGACTGCAAAAATGTGACTTTAAGATCAGTGAGAATCTAAAGGCCTGGATGTTCCAGAAAAAAGGACTAGAAAGCAAGGTTCCTTAGCCACAGAAAGCTTCATTTGGAGAGGCAGAAAGGTAATTAATACCATGGATATTGCTATTGGCTAACTTTGATGAGCTGTCATTGAATGTATGAGGACAAGGTGCTGGCGTTAAGGAGAGGTACTGTAGTTCCAGTACTGCTTGAGTGTCATTCTAGCTTTGGCTGCATTTTGGTTTTTTGTGTGTTTTGCTTTGTTTTGGTACTAGGGATTGATCTTGGGCACTCAACCACTGAGCCACATCTCCAGCCCTATTTTGTATTTTATTTAGAGATGGGGTCTCACTGAGTTCTTAACACCTTGTTTTGCTGACGTTGGCTATAAATTCGCAATCTCCCTGCCTCAGCCCCTGAGCAGCGGGGATTATAGGTGTGTGCCACTGTACCTGGCTTGGCTAGGATTTGACATGGGCAAGTCCTTTTGCTCTAAGCCTTGATTTCCTCTCCTATAAAGGAGTTATTGCCTGCCTCAGAGGACTTCTGTGAGAACTAAGATAGTAGAAAGGCCATAAGGGCAGGTATGGGAGTAGATTAAAGTAAAAGGTGATCCATCCTTCTTCTATAGCTAAGGTGCTTGTTTTCTTTTATTACTTTACCACATGGATACATATGTAGCTGTTTCTCCAAGATGAACAGATTCAGAATATATTCATTAGCCACCTGCCTATAGCCACCTATCTGTAACTCATATATATCCCTTATAACTTTGCATTTATCCCCTGATAGGTGCTCCATGCAATCTGTACGAGTTGTTAAGGATGCACCATGAGCTATCATAACATTCCTTGTCTTTCAGAGGTGTACACTGTGGTGGAGGAGATGAAGTGAATCTGAGAAGCAAACAAATAACTAATTACAACCATGACCAATACTTTGAAAGAAAAGGGGGTGACAGAGGACCCATAGAGGATCTCCCTGAATATGACATAGTAGTCACAGACCAGGGCTGGAGTAGCTGAGTGGTAGAGTGCTTGTCTGGCAGGTGTGAGGCACTGGGTTCGAACCTCAGCACCACATAAATAGATAAATAAAATAAATGTATTGTCCATCTAAACTAAAAATATTTTTTAAAAAAAATAGTCACAGGACTAAGTAGCAGTTAGGTGAAATTGGGGGAGGGCATGGTAAACAGTAGTGTCATTTACTCAAGGGAAGGACATGGTAAAAAAAAATATGGTTCACACCAGGTGCAGTGGCACATACCTGTAAGACAGGAGGATCACAAGTTCAAGGCTGGCCTCAGCAACTTAGGCACAGACCTAAAATAAAAAGAGCTGGGATGTGGCTCAATGGTAAAGTACCCCTGGGTTCCATCCCCAGTACCAAAAACCAAAGAACTTGTTTTCAGGGAAAGAATCGTGAATTCAGCCTGGGAAACATTGAATGGCTGGCATAGTGAGTATACCCCATGAGACAGCCAAGGAAAAAAAAAAAACAAAAAAATTCTTTGGGTGATTTAATTGACCAAAAAGGTTGGAAATTTGGGCTGGATGCAGAAAGTTGAGGGTTATCAACATGTGGAAAACAAGTTCATCAGACTAGATGAGGTACCTAGAGAGACTAACCTAGGTAGCCAGGCATGGTGGTGCACACCTGTAATTTCAGCTGCTTAGGAGGCTGAGCAGGAAGATCACAAGTTTCAGAACAGTCTCAGCAACTTAGTAAGACCCTATCTCAAAATAAATTTTAAAAAATTGGAAAGGACTAGAGATGCAGCTCAGTTGTAAAGAGCCCCTGCGTTTAATCCCCAGAACCAGGGGCAAAGAGAGAGAACTAAGACTATAACATGAAGAGAGGAGTCCAGAAAAGGAGCAGACAGAGAGGAAGGAGGAAGTAAGAGAGTGGAACAGTTAACATGATTAAATACTGTTAGCAGATAAAGGGAGAGGACTCAAATGTAGGTGGTAGACTTAGCCCCTTATGGATTTGTTTGAAGTATGGGGATGGAACCCTGGGGTACTCTACTGCTGAGCTACATTCAACCCCTTTTAGTTTTGGGGACAAGTTTCACTAAGTTGCCTAGATTCAACTTGATACCACGAACTTGGATACTCCTGTATCAGACTTTGGAGTAGCTGGGATTTCGGGTATGTGCCATCATACTTGACATTAGCTTCTTGTTAGTAAGCACAGATAGCAGGTGAAAAGTCAGGTTAGGTGCCATGTTGCAGGGGTTTAGAAAGGGCATGCTCACAACAGGAGGGAAAATGGTGAAACAGTGTCTAGACTGCTCTTCAGAGAAGTTTGGCTATAAAGGGGCAGAAGAGAGAAGGGCCACCAGCTGAAAGATAAATGAGATCAAAAGGGGAAGGAATTTCTTTTTTTTAAAATGGCAAAGACTTGAACTCATTAAGAGTTGATTAGGAAGATTTAAGAAATCAAAAAGAGGAGAAATTTGAAGGTGTGGAAGAAAAGAGATAAGAATGGTTTTAAGAATTTTGAACTCCAGCATGCAGTACAAAAGGAAAGTTGTAGATGCAAAGAAAAAAGAGCATGAGAAGAGAGTGCTAAACAGAAACAGCACTTGAGAGAGCCAACAAAGTACAGCTCGCAGCTGGGTGTCACATGGTTCAACCTGTACTCATGCAGAAACAACTTATATTTTCTTAATGCTGTCCCTTAATCTTTCAGTAAGCATTTTTATTCTGCCTCCAGCATTTTATGAAAAAAGAAAATGAATATAATGACATGCTACTTATTTATTTCACCCCTACTTGCCACTGTTGAGCAGAGCAGGGGAGGTAGCTCACTGAGTGAAGTGAGATTTGGGTATGGCCTGTGTTTTGCTTGTTCTTGTTTTCCATTTACAGTGGTAACCTTACCCTTTCTCAATTTTTAGGCCTTTTCTGATGCCATTAAAAAGTGGCAGGAGCTTTCACCAGAAACCAGTGGGAAAAGGAAAAAAAGAAAAGAAATGAATCAATATTCTTACATAGATTTCAAATTTGAACAAGGTAATGGCAAGCTGAATGTTATAGCTGATAGCATGTGAAGCTGCAGTGCCAAGCCTTCCCTTTCGGTGTGGTCACTAAAGGAGGTGGTGTTATCTGCTGCTTACAGAGTGTCGTGCTGGGCTAAGGAGTGACTCATAAGGACTATTTAGACATCACTTCATAATTTATAGAAAGTTGCTACAGTGTTGTCTTCCTTATTCCTGCTTAGGTTACATTATGACACAAAAATTTTGAGCAGGGTTAAAGAATTCACATGTGGGCAAGTGGGAACACTGCTAAGCTTGAAAAAAAAAAGAACTGTCTGGAAGGTTTAGTATTCTTCAATAGTGGCCACCTCGACTAATGATTGCTCACTGCAGAGGTGGTCCACTTACTCACCTCAGTGTGGGTCTAATAGCCACATGCTTCTCAAATTCTGTTACTCTTATTGATGAAATAACTGCTGAAAGCCCTTTCTGAGACATTATTTTAGTTCTGATCCCTCCCAAAAGGTTGCCTGATTAATTTTAAAACATTTCATCTGAGTTGTTTGTGTTCGACAAAAGAGTTTACGACAGCTTTTTCCATAGATTATGTCACAAATAGGAATATTTTCATCAGGTATGGTAGTACACACTTGTAATCCCAGTGACTTGGGAGGCTGACACAGGAGGATCACAAGTTCGAAGCCAGCCTCAGCAACTTAGGCCTTTGACCCTGTCTCCAAATAAAAAAATAAAAAGAGCTGCAGATGTAAGTCAGAGGCAAAGCATCTCTGGGTTCAGTCCCTAATTAAAAAAAGAAAAAAAAAGACTATTTTCCCCTTTTCTTTTCTTTTTCACCTATTTGTTTTTCTGTTACATGTACACTTACTTACAAAATTTATTTTCAAGTATGACTAAATAGAGATACCACAAGTTAAATCATTTTGAAAGTATTTGAATTTCTGGACTAATTCCTCAGGGTCTAGATTTTTATCCCCCACAGTGTGATTCCTGAGGTCCCTCTGAAAGTCTGTGCAGCAGTGCCCTCTAACATGACATTCTCACTAGTCTCTGAGAGATTGAGAAAGTGGGAACAATATGTAGGTTGTTTTTCACTTGGCTTACTTAATATACAGTTGTAATTAGGTATCTCTCTTACATACCTCCTCCCCATTATTTGTTTCTGATTTTCAGTGGTGGAGAAAAGAAAGTCTACTTTGTAAGATGGTCTACCCTTTGTTGGTCAGGTCAACTCTGTCCTTTACAAATTTCAAAGAAAACTTGAACAGACTAGTTAAATGTCTGATATATGTTATTTTTATATCTTTTGTTCCAGATATTATTTATTGTGAATCTATGTAGTGCTATTTCTGTGAAGAGTTTTCAAAATTGAAAGTGTAAGGAAATTAAAAATTTCAGAACTGAGAGTTTGGCTCAGTGGTAGAGCACTTGTCTACCATGCACATGTGCAAGGTCCTGGATTCATCCTTAGGACCAGAAGAAAAAGAAAAGGGAGAGAGGAGGGGAATTTGTACCTACTAGAATGGCTAAAATTAAAAACTGATGATAATGAGGTATTGCCAGAGATGTAGAACAATTGGCATTCAATTGAATAATTTTCTAAACCTTAAAACTAAGCCTAATCCCCCCCAAACAAAGAGAAAAACAGAAATGTAAAGAGAAGCTATCCTGTGATTCAGCAACTCTACACCTCCATGTAAACCCAACTGAACTACAAACAACAGTCAACATCTACAAGCAGCTGTATTCATAATAAACTATAAACCAATGCCCTAATTAGTAGAATAGGTAATAAACTATATATGCATACAGTGTAATACTGATGGAGTAGGAGAGGCTTTACAATTGGAGCATACAGTGGAGTGTGGGGAGGCTGAAAGATTCATGGTAGACAAGGAACAGAAAGGAATGCAATCGACTTCAGTGCTAGAATGTGTTCTAGGATCAGTTTTGAAATGTACTGCCAAGAGGGTCAGTGGAGGACTAAACCAGAGAAGACTGGAAGTTGCTGGCCTGAATTCCTACAGACAATTGACTACATAATTATGCATTCTTAAATATCTTCTAGGTGACATAAAAATAGAAAAGAGGATGTTCTTTCTGGAAAATAAGCGGCGACATTGTAGGTCCTATGATCGGCGTGCCCTCCTTCCAGCTGTCCAACAAGAGCAAGAGTTCTATGAGCAGAAAATCAAAGAGATGGCAGAGGTAGGAAGATGTGCTCTGGTCTTGGGATGTGGGTTTGGTTTGCTTGCTCTTGGGGCTTGATACAAACCCAGGGTTAGGCAAGTGCTCTATCACTGAGCTATCCCCTCAGCCCAGGATTTTCCCTTTGTTTAGAGTAATTAATTATATGACAACATTTTTTTTTTTAACAGCTAGGTTTTTTGTAATTATACTGGCCCAAGTTTCATAAATCAAATTAAAGTTAAGAGAACCTTAATTGGAGTTTAGTATCATGTGTATTTTACCTACGGCAGCCTTTAAAGAGTAACGATAGGATCTATTTAGTTTAGCTCCTTAATTTTTGTAAATATATCATCAAATGTGCAAGTCAACCAGAATATACATATATTGGTTGTTTAATAAACATTTTCTGGGGGCTGGGATTGTGGCTCAGTAATAGAGCGCTTACCTAGCACGTGCAAGGCTCTTGGTTCGATCCTCAGCACTACATAAAAATAAATAAATAAAACAAAGATATTGTGTCCAACTACAACTAAAAAAATATTTAAAAAATAAAATGAACATCTTCTGAATCAGTGGCTCTCTTGTGGTCCCACATTCGTGGTTCCCCAAGATTTTTTAAGGGATCTGTGGAGTCACATCTCTTACAATGATGCACAGATGTCATTTGCTTTCTTTTACCATGTTGAATTTTCATCAGTAGAACTAAAGCCCTGATATCTTAGCATGAATCAAGGCAGTAGCACAAAACTGTACCAATAATTATTGTCTTTATCACCCTGTACTCACATTTTCTAAAATTTTAGTTTCAATTGAAAGTGTCTTTGATAAAGCAGTAAAAGGTATTTATTTTATCAAATTTTCACTCCTGAAGATTTCAATATTCTGTGTGAGAAAATGAGAAGTGTACATATAGTGCCTCTGCTGCTCTCGGGGATGGATGCTTGTCTTGACAGGAGGCATTGTATTGATTTACAAGTAATAGCATTAGCCTTTGGTTTTTTTTTGTTTTCTTTGCAGAATATCATTTTTACTTGAAAAAAATGATTGATGGAAAAATTATAATTAATCAAAATTGGGTATTTAGCAGAAATTTTCTTAAAAATGAAAAAAGTGATGATTATTTGTGACCAGTGATAAAATTCTAGATCCCAGACATTAGAACTTTCTCAAAGTTGTTTTCTTCATCTTTTCATCACAGAATTCCTGTGATTGTTAATATCACCAACGATCGCATTAGAAATGCATTTTTAGAAAGAACTGGCAGATTGATGGATGTAGCTTAGTTAATTATAGTCATTGTTGTTCTTGATGTCTAGATTGTTAGATTGTTCCATCTCTGGCCAAGGGCAGCTCCTTCAGCTTAGTCCCTCTGTGCTGACCATGGTAGGCTCTTAACACTTAACTTGCTTTCTAACACAGTGAAGTGTTCTAGATTCAACTTGTGCTTTCTGTGACTTGGCTGGATCTGGAATCAACAATTTCTCCGAAGTATTTTATTTTATTTACTAGGAATTTCATGCTGAGATTTCTATTTAAAACTTGATTTACAGGGTGTTTTTTTTTTAACTTTAATTTTTTGTTTGTATTACTTCTTTACTAAAAATCTTGGTTCTTAATAACATAATTCTTATGAAATTGTATCATTAATGATATAAAATGAACCAGGCACGGTGGCACACACCTGTAGTCCCAGCTATTGGAGCTGAGGCAGGGGGTTGCTTGTGCCCGGGAGTTCCAGGCCAGCCTGGGCAGTGTTAGCAAGATCAAGAACAAATGTGATCATGCCATTAACTTGGTGAACAGTTAAGTTTGTTTCTGCTTATTTTCAGCTTTCATTGAATTGTCTTTTTTTTAGTCTTATTTTGTTCTTCAGTTTTGTGAAATTATCCTGACTCTTCCCGCATGTGCTCTCACTCCCCCATTAGACATTCTTGTTAGGTTTTTGTTAACAGTGGTGATTTTGAAACAGGGTCTTGGCATATTGTCTGAGCTGGGCTTCAACTTGTAATTCTCCAGCCTCAACTTCCCCAGTTGAGGTGGGTGTGCCACCACATCCAGCTTTCTTACTCATATTTCCTTATTTTATGTAAAAGCAAATATGTGTATGTATTGACATATGTATTTTATTTGCCTTTTTTTTTTTTCCTTTTGCTGTGCTGGGAATCGACGTAAGGGCCCCACACATGCTAGGCAAGTCTCTGAGATACATTCCCCAACTCCCTCTTTCTTATCCAAAAGGAATCACACTCCTCTGCCCCTGCTTTTTTCACTTAGTCATATATCCTGGCAGTCACATCGCAGCAATCCACAGAGATTTACTTTTTTTTTTTTTTTAAACTGCCTAGTACCCCATTATCTGTAGTACCAGAGTTTATTCAGACAATTTCCTATTGTTGGATGTTCAGATTTTTTCCCCAGGTTTTTGGTGTTAAAAATATTACGTTAAATAAGCTTGTGTATGCATCTTTTCATATTTCTACCCAAGGGTATCTTTGGGCCAGACCCCTAAAAGTGTCATTGTGAATCTGTGCCAAGTTCCCTTCCATCATGGTTGTACTATTTTATGCTCTTACCAGTAACATGCCTGAGTGCCTGGTACCTTTTGAAATCACCAAGAAAGTATATCATACTTGGTTTTGACTTGTTTAGTTTTTTTGTTTGCTTATGCTGTTCTTTGCTTTTCACAAGTATTTTATGTATCAATCTTTTCCAATATTCACTATGTGAATTTATTTTCAGGTAACATTTTAAACTATTTAATTATGTAACTGAAGAGATACCTATTAGTAATAGATGTATGCTTATGAAAGTAAATATTAAATGTTTTTATCATCTTTACTAAATTTGTATCCACATATATAATTTTTTTGTTGTTGTTCCTTAGCATGAAGACTTTTTGCTTGCTCTGCAGATGAATGAAGAACAATATCAGAAGGTATTTTGAAATCTCACCTAATTCATTTATTCTGGGTGTTCTTGTGCACTTTCTCTTTTTTAATAACATTTCTTCAATGTCTTGAAAGCAGACTTGTCCTGAATAACCTTCTGTTGATCTGCCAAGTTTGCAGTTTACCCAATTACTTTGAGGTACATGAACTAATAGTGTAGCCTGAATCAGAATTGAAGGGAAGATAGTGATGGAGATGTTCTTATTATAGAACATAATCAGGAATCCAGTACATAGAGTGTAAAGAAAAATGTAGACCTCAGAAAGCACTTAGAGTTGGTGGGAAGGCCTTGGACCAGGGATGTTCTATGTGATATCTTCCATCTTACATAGTAGCCTTTTCTAGCAGAGCTAAGAATGGGCTGGTAGCTGGATCCTTTCTTGCAATGAAGAATTAGATCCTGGTATGTTACTTGAGATTGGTGCTTTAGTTAGCTTGTATTTTTTATTTTGAGAAAGGGTCTCACTGAGTTGCTGAGGTTGGTCTCAAACTTATAATCCTCCTGCCTCAGTCTCCAGAGTTGCTGGAAAGCTCACTATCTCTAGCCATGGCATCCTAATCTGGGTTTAGATGGCAGAAAACAGCTCATTGTTGTTTCATGGCTCCTGGGGGTTGCTTTTGACCTCATAGTGTATGCTAGGGGTAGGAAGGCTTAAGAAGATAGGAAACAAGTCCTCCCCTAGACTCTAGTGTGAGTGTGTGGGGGTGTTGGGCATTCACATGTGTCTCTGTGGCCTATAGGATGGCCAGCTAATTGAGTGCCGCTGCTGCTATGGGGAGTTTCCATTCGAGGAGCTGACACAATGTGCTGATGCTCACTTGTTCTGCAAAGAATGTCTCATCAGATATGCCCAAGAGGCTGTCTTTGGATCTGGAAAGGTAAGAAATGTAGAACTGTGTAATACCCATACATAGGAAATAGTCACACACTCAGGCAACCACGCTGATAGACCAGGAGTTTTGCTGGGGTGAGTAGAATTCTATCAGTGTGTTAATATATGCATAATTTGATTTGTGTGATTATGTTGGTTCTAGGCACAACAGTCTTCGGGGAATGATAGGACTCTTTCATGCCCCAGGCCCTGCCCCACCTTCCTGTTCACAGTCAGTGGGATGAACCAGAGGGAGAATGACCTATTTGAACACAGGAGAGAATGTTAGTGGGTTTTATGCATGTTTTAAAGGATTTTATAGTTGGATTAAAATATATATATTCTAGTAACTATTTTATACAAGATCATATTTCTCTGACTGGGTTTAGTTTCTTTTAACACCAGCATAAGGCAATCTGGAAAGGAGTTTTATATTTTTTATACCACTAATATTAATGGTGTCTTATTCCAGCAGCAACAGAAAAACTAACACAGTCATTTAAAATGAGGCCTTTTTAATCATGAGTGATAAAAGATACACCAGCATGTAGCATATTTCCTAAAGCTACACTGAGAAATTGCCCTTACGTGTCAAATATCAGTTTACTCTTGAGACAAATTCAAATTGAGAAACACTCTACAAGATTACTGACCAGTACTCTTCAAAAGAACCAAGGTCGTGAAAGACCAACAAATACTGAGTCACTGTCTCTGAGGATATAGAGGGAAAACAGACTCAACCTTAGGTCTTCCACTGTACATTTGCAGATCATTTTTGTGACCCCAAAATAAGTGGGGATTTCTCCTCACCAGCAGGCAAGCAAGTAGTCAGTTTAGTGGACACCAGCTGGATATCCTCTTAAGTCATTTGAATTGTGTCTACTTAGAGATAGTTTCAAGTCCCACAGGTTGAGATGCTCGGTACTCAATATCAAACACCAGTTGAAAGTTCAGGCCTCCAGCACTTCTGACCAACTGACTGCAAATTGGAGTTCCCATGATCAATACTCAGGCTCAATTAATTCACTTGAGCCAGCTTGTTGATCTCAGGGAAGCTCTAACTTACATTGACCAATGTATTATAAAGGATAATTGTAAGGGATACCAGTAAACAGCCAGATAGAGGGATACATAGACAATGTCCCAATCACAGGAGCTTCTGTCTACATGGAATTTGAATGTACCACCTTCCCAGAATATAGTTGAGTTCTTGTTCACCTGCCTATCAGTTTCCATGTGCCCAGCTGTCCAGAAGCCCTCCAAATCCTGTTCTTTGAGTTTTTATGAAGACTTCATTACTTCATTGCATAGAAGCAAATGAAGCGTAGACAATCTTGTAGAAATGTGATGGGAAGAAAAAGCATGCTCTAATGCTAATAGACTGAGTGGTGAGACCCAACAAACCCTGGCAGTGCAGATTCTTCTTGGTGTGTATGCAGTGTACCTTCATTCCAGATAAGGGACAGGACTTACAATCTGAAATAGGGGTCTTACGATCTGCTAACAGAAAAAAGTACGTCAGAGCATTTCTTTGCAGTCAACTTTTACAAAGAAAGGTCTGGAAGGATTAAGAGTATATTTTTAAATCTATGACTAGCCTTGAGGAAGAGAAGTTCTGATTTCTCTAACTTGCTGTGGAGGTGAGGGAAAACAGGTGAACAGAGGGTAAGAGATCAGACAAGAGATAGACTGTTTTTTGAGGGTTTTTGTTTGTTTGTTTGTTTTTTGGTGTCTTGTTTTTGGCACCAGGGATTGAACTCAGGGGCACTTAACCACTGAGTCTCATCCCCAGCCCTTTTTTTGTATTTATTTAGAGACGGTCTCACTGAATTGTTTAGGACCTTGCTAAGTTGCTGGGATTGGCTTTGAACTTGAGATCCCCCTGCCTCAGCCTTCCAAGCTGCTGGGATTATAGCACCTGGCTGAGAGACTGCTTTCTGAGGGCAGAAGTGCTCCAACATTGTAACAGAAGACTGTCTTTCACCTTTATTGCTCTGAAATTATTTCAGAGCTGCTTTAGGAACTAAGGACAAAAGGCCAACTACCTTATAATTCTGGTCAAACTACCTTATAGTTCTTGTCATTTAGGAAATAAAAAGGGCCAAGGGAACCATGGATAAAAACCAGAATGTGTAGCTATCACACTAACACAGGTTGGAAGAGGCAAAGAACACATGGCAACTAGAGGTTATGAGGGATCCTAGACCAAAAAAGACAATATTGGAAAACCTAATGAAGTAGAAGTAAAGACTTGCTTAGTTAAGAGGATTGTACCACTGTTAGCTTCTGATTTTAAGTGTGATGTGTTTTGTATACAACTTTAACTTCAGGAAAAGTGATTAAAGAGGATTCAGGAACTTTGTACTATTTTTGCAACTTCTTAAAAGTCTAACATTATTTGAAAATAAAAAAGATTTTGTTTTTCAAAAAGCATGATTTTTTAGAGTCTAGCAGAAAGCATTGGCCCTTGGGCCTCCCACTTATAATTGCCTGCATAATCTTGAGAATTGCTGTGAACATTAAATGAGATCATGTGTTTAAAGAGTGTATTTTCCTGGGTTCGATTCCCCAGCACCACAAAAAAAAAAAAAATTCTGACACATCATAAATGCTTCCTAGATCTTAGCTGTATTTTTTAAAATTGTTTATTTATTGCTGGGGATTTAACCCAGGGGCACCTTACCGCTGAGCTATATCCCCATCACTTTTTTATTTTTTATTTTGAGACAGGGTCTCACTAAATTGCTTAGTGCCTCACTAATTTGCTAAGATTGTCCTCAAACTTGTGATCCTCCTGCCTTATTCCCAAGTCACTCAAATTATAGGTGTACACTCAACACCCGGCAACTATATTTTAAGGTGCCTTTTCTCATATGTCTGATTTGTTGTGTCTGTCTTTCCTGTTGAAAATGTTCCTCGGATGGCTAAGCTTTTCTTTCATATTAAAGAGTTGTTTGGAAGCTGTTTGAGTAGTGAGGATTATAGGCTGGTGAATTTGACTGTAGGTGCCTGGATAGCCTGTTAGCATTTTGTGTTGCGAACCTTAAATGACACTCTTAGGTCTCTCTACCAGATTTGGGTGTGGATCCTGTCCAGCAGGTGTGAGACCACATTCCAACATCCTAGAGCTGAGTGGGAGGCAGGAGCTGGAGAATTCCCTGTTCAGTGTGCAGGCTTCACAAATCCTGAGTTTAGGCCACACCTTAGCAATGCCTTTCTCTGGGAGTCTCCTGGTTCCATCTAAAGGGAGTTGGAACTGAAGGCCAAAACAATTCCCCCACTTCTTGATTTTTTCTACCCTTTCCCCACCCTTCTATCTTCCTGGGGCATCTCCTGCTTTTTAGGATTTATAGAGGGAATCAGCATGCTTCTGACCAGCATCTCCCTTTCAGATACTTATCTGAGAACTTCCTCCTTCCATCCACTAAGCCATATACCCTCCACCTTCCATCTTCTTGGATTGTGATTTACACTGCTAGATGGACTTTGTGTTTTTGTTTCATTTTGTCCTTATTGGAGTGTGATTTCTCATAGAGACAGGAGGCAGAGAGATCTTCATTCTGCCACTTCATTCTGTCACTTAACTATTGTTTGCCTTCTGTTGAAAGATTCATTTAACCTCTGAGGTTTTTTTTTACTGACGACTTGCTTGACTTTTCTTTTTTCTTTGCCTACTTTCTAGTCAGAGCTCAGCTGCATGGAAGGCAGCTGCACATGTTCATTCCCAACCAGTGAACTAGAGAAAGTGCTTCCCCAGACCATCCTGTATAAATATTATGAGCGAAAAGCTGAAGAGGAAGTTGCTGCAGCCTATGCTGATGAGCTTGTCAGGTGAGTTTTTAGTCAGCTCTTTCCCAAATATGAAGGCTTCCCTGAGCATCAGGTGGAGGAAATTATGTAACAAAGCTATATCTTCCAGGTTTCCTGGCTTTTCTTATAGAGACATAAGATAGTCAATCAATTTTATTAATGGAAAAAAATCTATAGAACAATTTTTTATCTACTATCCTTACTCTTCCTCATAATCTTCTGGCCTGTAAGTATAGTCATCACGACCTGGGTTGGAGAAAAAGTGACATATGCAAGGATTCTTATAAAAGTTGGAATATGTTTATTGAGTGGCTGACAATGAGTTGGGACCTAGAAAGCTGTTCTTTGTAATGGCTCTACACCTTTCATAATCAAGAGAGGTTCAATCCACATTTTACCGAAAACTGAAGAGTTAAAAAACAATAAACTGTCCAGCTCAAAACTCCATTTTAAGGGAATAGTTACATGAAACCTAATCAGGTGTTAATATTCTGAGTAGTTCTACTTTTGATTCCAGGTGCCCCTCCTGTAGCTTTCCTGCATTGTTGGACAGTGATGTGAAGAGGTTCAGCTGTCCTAATCCTCGCTGCAGAAAGGTAGGGAAACATTTTTTCCTACACAAGTATATTATGTGCTTTATATCTGTATGCCAGTACATGAGAAGGATTTGAGTGCTCTCCTTTTCATAAAAGCAAATGAAGATTGATATGTACTTTGTGAATGATTGTTGGTATGGTTATAGAGAAGGGTCCACTTGTGGAATTCCAGTTACAGTTAGCTCTGGATCCGAGTTGTATGTCATCAGATACTGTGATATAAACTATGAAGATCTGGATTTTTTTTTTTCTTCTACTGGGTCATTATTTTTCTTGCTTGCCCTTTTCTCTGCTTCTGCTCAACTCCCCACCCCTACTCTCTTGCCATCCAAACACACACATACCTCCTGCCATTTTCCATGTCCTAGAGACACTTCTTTGAAAAATCTAGTCATCATGGTAATGTCTCTGTCATGTCTGGTAGGTTTTAACTTGTTTTCCTCATTCAAATTAACTATTATCATGTGAGACCAGAGCTATCTAATCACCTTATTTCTACAAATCTTTCTTCTCTAACTCAGCTCCTACTTTTTGAACTAAGAATGTCTTAAAATTTATGAACTATTTATAAGCCAGTTAAAAGTTTTCATGAATATTGGCCATTCACATAGACAAATTAGAAAAATTTAACCATTTTTCTAAAACCATGTGATTAGAGTTGAACATTGTAGTATCCTGGAGAGAATGAAGAAATTGAAGTAGAAATTGGAGAATAAAGAAAATTTTATTCCTTTTTTTTTTTTTTTAAATACACGACAGTGGAATGTATTACAATTCTTATTACACATATAGAGCACAATTTTTCATATCTTTGTATAAAGTATGTTCATGCAATTTATGTCTTTATATTTTTTTTTGCATTACAATTCTTACTACACATATATACCACAATTTTTCATATCTCTATTTGTATATAAAGTAGGTTAACACCCAATTCATGTCTTTATACATGTACTTTGGTTAATGATGTCCATCACATTCCACCTTCCTTGCTAATCCCCTGCCTTCTCCCTTCTCCTCCCTCCCCTCTTCCCTATTTAGAATTCATCTGTTTGTCCCATGTTCCCCCTCCCTACCCCACTATGAGTCAGCCTCCTTATATCAGAGAAAACATTCGGCATTTTATTCCTTTTGTTTTCAACATGAGTATTTCTGTACAAAATTTGTTTGTGTTCTTACAAGTGATGTGATTATTTGATAATTTTTTTCCACCCCAGTCTGTTTTATAATAATTGTCCCAATAGTCTCTGGCATCTTGGAACTAAGAAAGCATGGTAACTATGCCCTTGTGTGAGTCTAGTGTGTCAGGCACTGGATGCTACAAAAGGCAATTCATGAACAGGGGAAACATAGCCAAAGGAAGGAATGGGTAAGAGGAGGAGTGAAAGTGGAGGAATATTTTAGGCCCCACGAAGCAGTGACAGCTTGGGACATTGGTTGATATCAGGAATATAAAGGAGGCTCATGAGCTGCGTGGGAGCAAAGCCATGCAGGACCTACCTTCTCCGGGGTCTTCATAAATTGCTTAGAAGGAGCTAGGAGCTGGGAGCTATGTTCCCTAGTGTTATTTCAAGTAAAATAGGCCAGTGAAAGTACTAATATGCAATTTTGAAGACCAAAGAGGAGGAGGCCACTATTCTCCAAAGATATTTAGAAACAGCCTAAAGGCACACATGAATCTGAAACAGCATCCAGTGAGTGTGTTTAGAATATCAACTTGAGATGTTAGTGGGAGCTTTCAAACAGCTCTTAAGAACTCAGAAAAGAACACCAAATATTCTTTCTCTCAGTAGAAGGAATATACATGCCCGGGAGGTGGGCATTTAGGTTTGTTTTTTTTTTTTTTTTTTTTGGACAGTGTGTGCACAGGTGAGCAGGTTGCTTTCATAAAAAGCTATTGAGAACAGATGTGGAAGTAGCACAGGCACACACACTGTCACCCACTCACTCACTCACACACTCTCAGCATTGCACTCCCCCAGCTCAGTACAGAATGAACAGTAGGAAATTCCTTACACATGCTTCTCCCTGGGGAGGGGAAGAGTTGAAGCATAAGTTCAGCATTCTATCTTTTCAGGAGTCTGCCCAGGACATTTTTCTTGTCTCAAACAAGTCAGTGCTAATGGGACTGAGCTTGTGCTGCTCCAGAGGACTAGTAGACAGTGCCCAATATACCATGGAGATTTCTCTTCTTGGGTAATGGATAAAAGAAAAGGGAAGAGTGGATCGTATGCCCAGAGTTCTAGCTTTTCCAGGGAATGCTTAAGAGACTGGTTTCTGTCTTACCAAACTCAAGTGCTATCAGGACTCAACATATTGTAGATGCCTGGGAGCTGGATGACTTAAAAGAACTCCAGGGATTCTACAGTACCTCAGACCAAACATGAGACAAAGCAGGAGTTTATATATTCTTAGATGGAGTTTAGGGGGAGGTTGGGGAAACAAACCTCATTAATTGCCCATTTACATGTACTAATTCAAGACAGTGCATCCACAGAAAAGGTTTGAGAGGCCTCCAGAATCAATCAAGGTACATGGGTGAAGGTTTTTCCTTATCTAAAGTTAAGTTTATAAAGACTGGGTGAAGCGGGTGAAGTGGCTGTTTTTCCAAATGTGCAGATCCAAACACAAAAGTAATAAGGCTGACCTACAAAAAGAGAGAAGCATGGCCCAGCCAAACAAGCAAAATAAAATTTTAGAAACTGATATATATGAATTACCTGACCAAAAATATTTTTCAATGTAACATCATAAAGGTGGTCAGCAAGCTTAAGAAAGTCTTGTGTAAACAAAATGAGAATATCAACAAAGAGACAGAAAATATCAAAGAGAACCATACTTGGAAGCTGAAGAATAAGAACCCAATTGAAGAACCCACTAGAACAATTCAGTAGCAGATTTGATTAAGCAAAAGAAAGAATCAACAGAGTTGACGACAGGTCATTTGAAATTACCCAGGACAAGGAACAAAAAGAAGATATCAGACTATAATCCCATCTTAAGTTGAGGAACGTTTATAGACATACAGAATTCTGCAGTATGTATAGTTATGCATAAATCACTATCTGGTATAGAGTTTAAAATCCATAAAATAGTATTAATAGATACATAATACAAGAAGATGTAACTTGTGATTAATAACAGTGTGGGGAGGGCTAGGGATATAGCTCAGTTGGTAATGTTTGCCTAGCATGTACAGGCCCTGGGTTCAATCCCCGGCACCACCAAAAACAAAAACAAAAAACTGTGAGTATATGTAAAAGGTGGACACTTCGCACTTCCTTTGTACAAAGGTTCAGTGATTGAAATAGTATAGTACTTGCGTGAAGACAGACATATATGGATCAATGAAGCATAATAGAAAACCCAAAAAATCAATCCACACATTTATGGTCAGCTAATCTTTGACAAGAGTGCCCTTATATACAATGTGGAAAGATAATCTCATCAATAAATGGTGCTGGGAAAATGGGATATCCACTTGAAAAAGAATGAAATTGGACCTTATTGTTCACCATTCACAAAATCAACTAAAAATGGACTAAATGGAAAAAAAAAGGAAAAACTACCATGTTGGACTTGGCACTGATTTCTTAGTTATGACACCAAAAACAAAGAAGTGGAAGCAAAAATAGGGGAATCAACTCTTCCCCTCCCCAGTGAGACTACAGCAAACTAAAAGATTTCTGTGCAACAAAAGTACGAACATCACCCATGGAGAGCCATTAAAATCCTTTGAGATCAGAGGATCTGTTCATTGCGACATCATTTGTAATTGACATATGACAAACAAATGTCCATTGACAGATGAATGGTTAAAAATGTGGCATATATGCATGATAGGATATTATTCAGTCTTACAAAAGGAAATTCTGTCATAGTACAATACAGGCGAGTCTTGAATATATTATGCTGAGTGAAATTAGCCAGTCACAAAAGGGCAAATATTGCATAGTTCCATTCGTGTACAGTATCTAAAACAGATCAGAATAGCGGCTTCCAGTGGCTGGAAGGAAGGGAAATGGAGAGTTGCTGTGCATTTGATAGCTTCATTTAGACAAGATGAAAAAGCTCTAGACATCTTCTGTACAGCATTTTGTTTCTGGTTGGCAGTACTTTACTCTTAAAAGTTTGTTTATAGGGTAAGGTATGTGGTGTGTTTTTTAATCATAATTTTTTGCCAAGATGGATGTGCAACATGAGCAAGAAACGTTTCTGTTTAGTGCTTTGGAGGTTTGAGTTTATCCCAGCAGCATAACTTAGCACACCCCAAAAGATACAGATCCTGAGGACCAGAACTGGCTCTGAGGTTTAAGAAATGGAGCAGACTTGGTGGAATCGCAGACACAGGTTAGGTGGTGACAGGCTGAATGAGGGTGGGATAAGGTCCAAGTGACTAACTCCTGCTTTGGACCACCACACAGATGATGGTGCTATTCACAAATCTGCAAATAGAATCAAAAGGATTTCAGGGGGAAAGAAAATTTAGTTTTGTTTTGGACATATTTGAGATTTCAGGGTGGATGTCTCCAGTTTGTGTCCCTGTCCCCACCAATCCCTGGCACAAACTAGGTGCTTAATGAATGTTTGCTATGTGATTAGACAACCAGAGTCTGGAGCAAAACCTAGGCTGGAGGGAGAGCTAGAAGTTTGGAGGCGGAAGCAGTGAAAGAAGGAAATAAGCAGATTACAAGAGCCCAGAAGGGAACAAAAATTTTTTTTTAATAATAATAATAAAAAGACTGTTTTGTTTTTTTTTTTTTTTTTAGATTCTCCAAAATTTTACTGTTGTCACTTTTATCTTTAGTATTAATGATTAAAAAAATAAAGGTAATTATAGCAAAGGAGGAGAAATGTTTTTAAAAAATAGCCCAAAAGGGTGATTGCTGCCTCAGGAATGTTGGTTTGTGGTGCCTGAGCTCACTCAGTGTGTCCTTCATTTTTTTAATTCCAGACTCCCCCACTCCCCATTACTGGGGATGAATCCAGGAATGCTTTAC